TTAACATAAATGCGCTTGCGATCATCCCGTGGTAACAAATAAAACGACCAAATATACTGAAATATAATTGAAAAACAAACGAAACATTGCACACCGATAGTTGCGTGAATTACTGCACGTACTCCAACTGTAAATTTTACGCGAATTACTGCACGTACATCAACTGTAAATTTTACGTGAGTCACCGCACGCACTCCAACTGTAAATCATACGTGAATTACTGCACGTACTTCTACTGTAAATCTTACGTGAATTACTGTACGTACTTCAATTGTAAATTTAATTGTAAACAATTTATTAAATTACTTATTAATTGAAGAATAATAAAAATTCCATTCAAAAGTATTACAAAATGTGATATAAGCGCCAAATAATCGAAAGATCCCATAGAAAATCATCGATTGGTAAATCTGAGTGCAATTCTGCACGTATAATAGCAATAGTCACGTATGTATGGCAGCTTTTCGTCTTTGCGTTAGCTTATGTGATTGTTTAAGATTACCGATCTGAGTGAGTGGGAGGAAGTTGGCTGACATTGATTAAAAGGTATTGCTGAATTAGATATTTACCATATGAGAAGTCTTCTCATCGCAGTAATTTAGAAATTCAATATGGAACTAAATTATCAAAACGTAATAAATTATCAAAACTGAGATGGAAGTATAATTTTATATCCTTAATTAAATTTATTTACAATAAAATAATTTAATCAATTGAATTAGTTTTTTAAGGATTTCCATAGATGGTGATTTTCTGACCGTACTAATGGCGTATTTCGCGAAGGATTGATGAATTTGCTTACATTTTTCGCAGCTTCGTAAAAGCTATTTTTTAGGTAGCGCCATCGAATGAAATCGAAATCATCGATCACTAATGGTTTATGCATTATATGATATGGATGACGTGATGCTTACATTTATGTATTACGTGAAATCTATTGATAATGTTTTATGCATTATGGGAAAACAGAAGTGATATGGTGATATGTTTCTGCAATGTATAAATTGCAAAAAGAAAAAATTTAGAAAAATCGAAAGAAACAGCAAATTAATTAAAAAATTAAAAACAAAATTGAAAAGTGTGTGATTACTGAAGGAGGTCTTTTTTCTATTTCAATGTCTTAGTTTTCATTTTCACCACAGTATCATAAACATATCGTTCTCTATCATGAGATATTTCTATTTGACTGTATATTTATAAAGCATATTTTCAAGTTTAGAATTCAAATGCTTCAACACATCAAAAACTAATTTCAAATAACTTTCACCTTTTTTTAACTTTAAAATCTCTGATGTCTCGAAAGTGGAAAATTTCCATCAAAAAACAATTAATAACTATTTAGCTACTGGAAATAATCAAAATACTCTTATCTCTTAGTGTTTCCAGTCAACACCATGGACAAATTAATGAACAGTGAGTAATTAATGACTGGCGCGAAGTTTTTNAGCCGCATGTCATTTGCCGATGGTACGACACCAACATCATCAGCACTCGCCCCTTATCACGCCAAAAAGCATTGAACAGATATACAATAGTGTCGAAGTGTGAGGTCTTTCAATTCCTCACACTTTTCGTAGCTAAATTTTCAGACGAAGAGAAATTACATCACTTTTCCCGCATCCTATTATCGATTATTGATGAATTTTATTATTACTAATTTCACTTCCATCAATCATTAATAACTTAGTCAATTTCCGTTTTTATGATTTTTTATATGATTAAAATACTAATCTTATTTACATTAAACGCAATAAAGCATTCTTGTTGACAGCAAAAAGATTTGTGTGGCGAATTACTCCATTGTTATTCCAACAATCAGTACTTATCCTTTTCCTAAGATAATTGACAACTTTGTTTGACTACTGTTTTGATAAGGATATAAAATAGTAATTTTAAACGATTGTGATGAAATAAAAAAATGATTTAGCATCGAGAATTTTAGGAAAAGCAGATTTTAATTTCAGTGAGCATTATTCAAAATCCACAATAATAACATAAGGAATTTGCAAAAACTTCGCGCCAGTCATTAATTACTCACTGTTCATTAATTTGTCCATGGTGTTGACTGGAAACACTAAGAGATAAGAGTATTTTGATTATTTCCAGTAGCTAAATAGTTATTAATTGTTTTTTGCTGGAAATTTTCCATTTTCGAGACATCAGAGATTTTAAAGTTAAAAAAAAGTGAAAGTTATTATTTGAAATTAGTTTTTGATGTGTTGAAGCATTTGAATTCTAATGAAGGTATGCTTTATGAAGATACAGTGAAATAGGGATATCTCATAGAAGGATGACTCCTTCAGTAATCACACACTTTTTAAAGTTTTGTTTTTAACTTTTTAATTAATTTTCTGTTTCTTTAGATTTTTCGAATGGTGAACGGTCTGATACTACAAACAAAGAAAATGTATCAGACTTCTCCAATTCAGCTTTTGTTGACCGATAAAGTCATATTTTCTTTCAATCTCAGATTTTCTCAAATTCGCAATATAGGATTAAGAAAAGTTTCGAAATTTGAATCAAATTGATTTTTGTTTTAGATAAACCAATATTCTCTTCACTAACTGAATTTTTTAACATAACATACGTTTTTAATGAAATTGCTTTTTGATCTGATGATGTTGTTAGGGAAAAGTAATGAGTTATAGAAATATCTTTGTTTGGTTAATTTATATTAGTAAATTAAATTGAAGAGAAAGTACCTTGAAATTCTATTAATGTATTCATCGGACTATTGCTTCATTGATGAATTCTTCTTCTCATCTTTTTTGATCCATTTTCCGTATATTTTCCATTGCAAGTTTATAAAGTCAATTTTTGTAAAAGTTTATAAGAATTTGTAAAAGCACTGTAAAATTACCAATTTTTAAACAGTTTCATCTAATATTTCCGACATTTCACATATTTACTAATGTTTTTACTGAGAATATGCGATGAGTCACCGATTAGCACTCATTTTCAATGAGATAACCTTAAATTTATTAATAGCATTTCATCCAACTTCCATTTATGTTGACGAGTAGATCAAATAAAAGAAGCAAAAAGAATAATCTGGTCTGTTTGGTGGAGACTTCTATACATTACAAACCAATCACTTTACATGCGCCATAAAAGTTGTTAATTTGGTGTGAAGCATCAAACAATGTCAAACTGCAACATCGAACCTCGTTCTATGGATTCAAACTGTTTTATCATATTCATAAATTCATCGAATGAAATTCGCCCATCATGATTGGTATCGACTAATTGGAACTTTGCTTCTATCAATTCCCGATCTATTACTTTGATCGTTTTTTCCAGAATTTTCAATACTTGGTCTGCAAATGAGTTCAGAAGACTTCATGAAAATCCCAATTTATTTCAAAGAAAATCGGTAGTTAAAACTATTAGTGAAAGTAGACTATAATACTGCAATTACTTGATTCGAATTGAAGTTAATGTTCAGTGATTTAAGTATGAAAATATTTCAACCGTTTTTTTGATATTATTGTTGAATGGATATATCATTTAAAACATGCAGGACACTTAATAGGAACTATTTACTTGCATGTTTAGGTAATAATTTTTACATAACAATTGGGATGATACGCATGCATGGAGATGTTAAAGTCTTCATGATAGAAAAATCTGTGTACATTGTAAAAAGCAATGAATCATTTCAGAAATGAATTCTCCCTTGCATTTCAAATAATGAATAGGAAGAAAGCTTAATGATAAACGATTAAAATTTCTCTTCTTTCGGGAGTGTAAATACTACAGTAGTGAAAGGGTTTAATGATAAACAATTAAAATCTCTCTACTTTCGGGAGTGTAAATACTGCAGTAGAGGAAGAAGTAATCATGAACCGCTGGAAAAGTAGCTAAGACAATATTAGATACTTTTTAGATCACGAACTATTGAAAGCTCTAAGAAAGTTTTCAAATCTTCAAACATAAGAAACCTGGACGAGCAATGTTTTCTTACGTTATCTATCCTTTGAATGCTTTTTTCAAATATTATTTTTATCAAAACATAGAAGAAAAAAGGATTAAATGAATAAAAATTTAAGATAAAGAAATTATCAGAATAGAATAACAGCTCAATGCTAATTGTCTGATTAAGATTGATTTATTTTAACACTGATAAGATATGATATGATAGTGTGATATGTTGATATGAGATTGCAGAGAATCAACAAAATCTTTCTTCTCTTTAGAATTTCCTCTCAAATAACAGCATAAAATTGAAAATGATAAAAAGATAGTAAACAAATTTTATATTATCGAGCAATTTTTACTTTTCTCATGGGAAATCAAAGAAGCACAAGTCAAATTCACTTTAATTTACGTCATTCCAACTTGTTTAAAAGACTTATTTATTGTAACTTTGGCTATCACTCCCATTTTATTCTTCCAAAATCTTTTTCATCCAAAAGAGAAATATTATTTTAAAAAACAAACAAATAGAAAAATGAAATGTTTGTCTAATATAATTCTGCTAAAAATTCAAAAATCAAATTTTATTCAAATCAATTAGCAAAATTAATAATTAATTTAATTATTAATTAATTTTATGCAATTTTAAAAATAAAACGTTTTCATGAAAATGAAATAAAAAATACGGAAAATTATATATATATATGTTTATAATATATTAATTATGCAAAATAATTTTATTATTAAATGAATTAGAGAGATCGATGAAAAAGAATAATTCAAACAAACAAATCATAAAACGATACCGACTGTTACAGCACTGTCGCCATCACTATCATATAATTGAAAATATTGTTCCAATTCGATAGCACTTACTCGATGTTTTGGTGGTGTACTCATATAACGCACGAAATTTTCTTTATTAATTGAACCTGTTTCTATAAATTTAATTCAAAATTAATTATATCAATTTAATTAATGATTATTTAAAAAAAAAAAAGATAAATATCGTTTATCATTTTTCAAAATTTTACTTACATTTCAAGATTTTATTCCATTAATTAAAATCTATTGATATGTTATAAACAAGTTTTATGTTATTTCTTCAAGTGTAAATACAACTATAAAACTTTGTTTTTGTTTTTTTCATTAGAGTTCTGAATTATTTTATTTAAAATGATTAATTGAAAAGGAATGAACAATCATCGGTAATTAGTAGCTAAAATGAAAAGAAAGAAGAACGAATTAAACAATTTATTTATTTGTTTAACTCAAATTTGTTTATTTATTTTTCGATATTTTTTTCCTTTCTTTTACATTAATTACTTAAATTTATTAAAACAAAAATTTACGACAAATAATTCATAAAAATAAACATGTAAAACAAAGGATAAAAGGAAATGTTGCAAAATTTGATTTAATTTCATTAAGCAAATAAATATGCTCATCAAAATACTGTAAGGCTGAAAACTACTGTATGCCACGCAGAGAATATTGAATGCTATTTTAAATTATTTAATGCAATTTTGTTATTCTATTCATTTATGTATATAATTGTTATAGTAATCAATAAATTTCATTTAACCTAAAAAGGGTAATTTCGATTTTTTGCTTTCCTTTGAAATAAAAACCATTTATACATATGATCTTATAATTAATTTATCGCAAGAAATAAGTAAAATTTGAATTTTTTAATTTCTAATTTTGTAAAATATTTCCAAATAATTTTTCACCATTAATGATATATTGCTATTATTTGTTATTTTATCATCACACGATTATGATACGGTAGAAAAATAAAAATACATAATTAAATAATATATTAGAAATAAATTATTTATAAACAAACAATGAATTATTTCACTGATTTAATTTTAAATATTAGAAAAAAATTCAATAAACAAAAACTTTAGAAAAAAAGTTGTAAAAATAATGAATTTCAAATTAATACGTACTATTTGGATCCATTTCTTGAAAGATCAAATCCAATTCAGCTCTTGTTGGTTCAACATTTATTATCCTCCATAATGCTGCTATTTCACCACGACTTAAACGACCATCCTGATCGGTATCTAATTGATCAAATGTTTCGCATAATTCTAAATTTAATTTATTTACGTTATTTCTAAAAATTCCATCTTATAAATATTAAGTAAGAAATTAAAGAAGAAAAAAGAAAACTTTAAAATTAATTTAAAATATTTATTCCTTTAAATTTTTCAGAAAGAAAAAGAAATGAAATGAAAATAATAATTAAAGAAATTATTTCAATTTCAAAATTAATTTTAAAAAAAGAAAAATTAGTTTTCTTTTAAAAGGAAATTATGCTTTTAGAACTTATCAAATATTTTAAATATATCAAATATAAATTTACATTTATAGTACAATTAAAAAATATATTAGTTTTCAGTTATAAAAAAATATTTCAAATATGAATTAATTAATTAATTAATTATGTAACACTTAAACAATTATATTTTTTAGCATTTTTAAGAATAAATGTAAATTTTTTGAATTTCTTCTAAGAATATTTTAGACATTATCGTAACATTTTCAAATTGACAACTCATTTTTCATTGCAAAATCGACGATATTTTCAAGAAATTCTTCGAAATATTTGGCAATAAAAAATTTCTGTTAAAATGTTTTCTTTTTTTCACATCGTTCTATCATTCCTAAAATATTTCCTTCTTTTCTCATTTCATCTTTCTCATAAATCGGTGTAAATTCTTAATCCCCCCGTGATATCTCATTTGAAATGTCTCGAAGATCTCGAAGGTCTCTAAGGAAATGAAAATGTTTAACTTCATTTCTTTCATCTATCCTAATATCTCTCTCTTTCATTTATGATGTTAGTTTTTTTTCCCTGATAATACTATTTTAACGATACAACAATAAAGTACTAATTTTTCATCAGTTGATAATTCAATTCATTCTCAACAATATCACAAATAATTGTTACGATAATTATTTGTAAATGATTTCACAGGTGATAAAATCATTGATTGATAAAAGATTACATTAATAATAAGGTAATGAAATAAAAATTGTTTTGTAGCATTTCTCGAAATTGATGAAGCATTAGGAATCTCGAGAAATATAAATGAATAGAAAGTATATATTCCTTTTTTTTCAAGTGCTTATCATTCCAATAAAAGATTGATAATCAGGAATTGATAATAATTTCCGATAGGAGCATTTATTTCATTATCACTACTTGAAATTATCACTGTTAGATTTTTTATAAATTTCAATCTCACTTTTTCAAATTAACATAACGACAAAAAAACAAAGCATTGCAATAATATAAGTTCAAATAAATTTCAATTTTGTTTCATTCATTTATTCATTTATATAAAATAAATTATTAATTTTATCATTGTAAATTGAGAATTTATAAAATAGTTTTTAATAAAAATAAAAATAAAAAGAAGAAATTTGAAAAGATAATCTTACGTTGATCGGACAAAATATAACACATCGTTGCAGTAATTAATGAATGTTGCCGCCGTTGAAAAAGAATTGAAGAAAATACGCCAACAACTACTTCTTCAACTGATGACGATTAGATAATCGATGTTTTATTGATATTAATTATTGTCAAATATTTAATAAATAATAAATTATCAACGAAACCGATATTTGCACGACTTATTTGCAAAATAATTTGCACAATTTACTTGCAAAATAACTTGCATGAATGGAAAAGAAGAAGAGAAGAAAAGAGTTAAAATGTGAATGTGGAAAAACAAAAGAGAAATTAATTGTTAGTTTTAAATAACTAAAATTAAAAATTTAAGAAAAAAAAGGATTTTTATTTATTTTGTTTTTTAATTTTTTAAAAATAGAAAAAAAGATAACTGGGAAGAGAGAGAGACAGAGAGAGAAAGAGCAATAATAGAAAGAATGAAGAAAGAGACTATATTAGTAATACGTAACAGGGATAGATGAAATAGTATATGAAATATTAACTAATGAAAAAAAGAAACAAATAAAACTCTATACTCTCTATACAATTTACTCTTTCTTTTCTTCTTTGCTAACGATAATTTGTAATGATATGTGAATTATCTTCTATGATTGTTTCGCATTCTGTTTTTAAAATACTCATCGTTATTGTGTTCAAATAAAAATTAAATATTTGCATTTGAAATAAAATATAATAATGTTTGGAAATATTCCTATAATATAATTAAATTATAATTTAATTAAATTTAAATATAAGTTTCAATTAATAATTATAAAATTAATCTTTAGATATAATTGAATATGAAAGATTATGCAAATTTCTAAATTTCTACAATTAAAAAAAAAGAATTTTCAAATTTTAAAATGTTTGCGAATGAAAAAGTACAACTGAAAACAATCTGTTATGATTTATCAAGAGATAACGAGCCGGATGATTCAACCGGATATTATTTAAATTAAATATCCTAACATAATAAGAAATGATCATATAATGAACTTTTCAAATTTATAATATAAGAATTTGAATAGTTTTGCGAGCGACAAAACAAGAAGGAATTTGTAAAGATTGTAAATACTTATTAATATTAGTAACAACAATAATGGTAATAATAATAGTAATAATAATAATAATAATAACGGTAATAAAAAATAATAGTAACAATATTAATAATAACAATTAATAATAATGATAATATTAATGATATATTTCTTGGCAAAGAATATCGATAAATTAAATATTTGCGAAAACAACAGCAGTATTAAAAAAAAAAGTGAAAAAGAAAAAGAGCAAACATTTCCATGTGAGAAGTATTTTTCTCTTCACAATTTAACAAAAATGTAATCGCACGGGTAGCCAGCCACTTCTCCATGGCCAGCTGGCAACAGATGAAAATAAAATATTATTGATGTTTGAGACTAAAAATAAGTAAGTAAGCAAGTAATTCGTTATTAGACTGGCAAGAAAAGATAGAAAATAAGAGTGAAAAAATACAAAAACAAAACGAAATGTTGCGGAATTTAAGCTTAAAAATTGATGCAAATTGTTTTCAAAAAAGAAAAAAGATTTTTTTTTAAAAGAATTCGTTCATAGAACAAAAAATTATGTGACAAATTATCAAACAGTGAAATTGAACATTTTGAGAATGAAATTAATCATTTTCACTGTGTAACCAACCATTAACCGGAATTAACCGCAATTTCTTTTGTATCTCCGAAAAAGTTTTTTGATTTAATAAATAATTATTCTTAATTTTTTCTTCACTTCAAATTAAACAATCATTATTTTGGAAATGCTTTTTAATTCATTCGTTTAGATAGAAAGTTTTCTTTAATCAAAAAATATGAAATGCTAACTTTGCCCGTTTTATGATAATATAAGTATTCGAATATTTCTTTTATAATATATTCGAGTAATTTAGTATATTCGATACCATTCGATTAATTTTTAATAACAAATTTAATCCATTATATATGAATACACATTGTTTGTCTGTGAGTGTTAGTGTTCATGCATCGTGTATGTGTATGTGTATGTATGTGTATGTGACAATCGAAATGATTAGTTGGCTTAAATTTTTTGATCTATGATACGCTTCAATGATTCATTTAATTCTACTATTGAATATGTCTATTTTATATGTAAAAAATTTTTTATAAACAAATTAATTGTTTACTGTCAGCAAACATATAAATGATATTTTAAATTGAAATCATTAAATTTCTTCTGATCATTGCGATTAATTTCAATAATTATGATTCTCTGTTCCCTAAAAGTTGAAAAAGATTTTTGAAAAGGAAAAGTTAATAGTAGAAAATGATAAGGTGATAGAAATAAACAAATTGATAAAAATATCCGACACGACAATAGGTGGCATCGAGTTTCTCAATTTGTGGCAGCATATGAATCACTTTGCCTCGATAGGTACCACAATCCGAGAATGGATTCATCTCCAAATAAACTAATTTTAAATTTGGCAGTTTCACCAATTCTTCCACTTCCGTAATTTTTTCCAACTAAATTTAAATGTTAAATGAGTGAATTTTATTTGTTTTAATTCAAATACTATCAATTAGATATATTTTATATTCAAATTTTAAAAATGAAATTTTTATTTTTGTTATTTGCAAAAAATCTCAAACAAAAACTTTTTGCGTGCAAATATAATTAAATTGATTTAATTATAGGTTGAGAATTATAATTTTGAGATTCATCCGGAAACCTGATTTTTTTTAGCCCAGAAATCGGTAAGTTTTTGAAGATGATGAATATTAGAAATAGAACGAAGACGATTGCAATTCAAATCAAGAATTTCCAAATTTATATTATTTTCTAGACCATTGATATATTCGATACCATTTTGTGATAGATATAATTCTCGAAGTGTTATTAAATTATTCAGACCCTAAAAAACTATTTTTTGATTTAAAAATTTTATTTTTATAAATTTATTGACGACAGACAATAGGATATAGTAAAGTATTACTACATTACATAAAGGATTGAATTCAGAATAAATTTCTTATTGAAGATTTGTTAGATCGTCATAATGCATTATGCACGGTATTATGGAAGAAGTAAAGGAGAATCCGGTACATTCCGGTATTACCGCCAGAAAATATCTTTTCATAAAATTATTTGATTGAAACATTGAATTTAAATCATTTTATGTCTTTTTAATTTCAATTCATAATTGTGATGATTGCGATATTGGATAACTTTTTTTCTCAATGTTTTTTAGCTTTTCAGTGCATCAAAACGGATTTGAAATAATTTAAAATCTAAAATTTGAAATGGTTGTACATTTCAGGTTTTTAGATGATTGTTAATGATATTGATAGAAATTAGTGATTTTAAAATTGCAGATAATATTTAACTTCAACCTTAATTTCTTGAATAGCATTAGCTGGAAGACTAAGAACTTCAATGTATTTTAACATATCCAAATTTTCAATGTCAACAATTTGATTAGCGCCAAGAAATAATCTTTTAATTTTGATATTTTTTGAAAGGTTTTCTATTTTTTTGATACGATTATCGCCAAGCTCTAAGTATTCCAATTCGGTGAGCTGAAAATATTAAATTAATTTATTGGAATAATTGTTTCCTCAAATTTCTTCTAAATAAATTTGTTGAAAAGAAATGTGGACAAATGCGCCATTAAAAATCAATGGTAGTGATGAAAGAGAAAGCATTACCTCTTCAAGTCCTTGAATTTTTTGAATTTTATTATGAACAAAGTAAGCATTTTTAAGTTTCTTCAATGATGACAGATTTTCTAACACTGTAATCCGATTGAAAGATAAGTCCAATGATTCTAAATTGATCAATTCATCCAGATTCTCGATTTTAGTAATCTAAACGTCATCAGTATCATAGTTGTTTATTTGTTCATCTATATTACTCTATCTCATAATCATAGTTGTTTATTTGTTCATCTATATTACTCTATCTCATTCAAAATTCTAAGTTTTAAATAACTTTGATAAAATAATTTCAAACCTGATTGTCATAAAGATCGAGTTCGGTAATTGTAACAAGCATATGTAAATTCTCGATTTTTTTAATTAAATTCCAACGTAAACATAAATATTCGATATTATGTAAAAAATCAAATCCTTCAATTTTTTTAATTCGATGTCGTGTTAAATCGAGTTCTTTAACATTCGGATCAACCTATATAGCATATACACTTTGAAATAATAAATTAAAATTAAAGCAAAATTTTTTAGAAAATCAAATCATTCATGATATTATCATAAATTTAACATAATTTAAGATTTTAAAATATACTAGTGCGTTCAAATTTCCAAACAATGCTGTCTAGTAAGGTTTTTGGTTTCATTGGATTTTATTCTTATCACATATCAACATTTCTTCAATATAAGTAAGAAGGTAGGAAAATGATAAATAACTGATATGCAATAACAGAGAAACGAAGATGATATTTAAAGTATAATGATAAGCAGTAAAATGGAATCCTACCAGGCCTATAAAACCTTTTCTCTAACTTAATCGCAATGAATAACTGATATGAAGTAACAAAAAAAAGCAGAGATACTTCGAGAAATTCGACATTCTCATCTTCTCCCTGATCACCTTCTCCAGCTTCTGGAACAACCGCAGACAGCGTGTCAGCACACATTCATGCGAAATACAATCATGCAATTAACTGCAATCCTAATAAATCCACCATTTTAAAAGTAATGTAAAGTTTTCATAATTTATGCAGAAATCTCAATTTTCATGCACAATATGTAAAAGTATCGCCGGAAAAGTTTTGCTACAAATTTCGGTTTATATTTCAAAAAGAAAAAAATTCGAAAAACTTAAAAAATTAAAAACATTGAAAAAAACGACGAATTCGAAGAATAATTCATAAATTCAAACATTTGGCATTTATTCAAAATTTAAAGAAAGAAATTTGAAAACAAAATATTCGAATTATCTGCAAATCCGTTTCAAAGTATTTCATAATTTGAGATAAGCAAAAACAAAGGATGCAATTAATAAAGTGAACGATAAAAGTTTTTTTAATAGAGTAAATAATAAAAGGGTTCACCTCATTCATTAATTAGAGGGATTTGTGCAATTAATGAAATTAAGAAAAACATGCAACTAAGAAGTAAAGCTAATGAAAAAGCATGAAGTGAAAAAAATTATGCATTAGATACGATTAGAGTAGAAAGAATGAAATGTATGAAGATGAAAGCATGCATTAATAAAGCTAACAAACTATTAATAAAGTTAACAAACAAAAAAGCATGCAATAAGTAAAGTTAATGTAATTAAAAAAGTACTTATGCCTAATACATGCGGATAACTGCAAGTAATCCAAAATGTTATTTCATAAATGAAATTAAATAATAAATAGAAAAGTTAGTAAAAAAAAAGCGTGCCATAATAAAATTAGCAAAAAAGCATATTTTAGAAAATTTGGTAGAGAATATCAAAATTTCAAAAAATAATATTAAAAATTCGAAACTTCAGCAGATAAGAACTCGCTGATAGATTGGAATTTCAGTATAAGACTTAATATTTACAATATTTCAAATTTCAGGGTGAGATAAAATGCTGAATAGTAACAATAAAGAAATGTGCTAAGAGTTGAAGGAAGGAAAAAGGAAGACAAAAGTATTCGTATTTGAGAATTCATCATTCTCAGGATCACCTAGAAAATATCGAGCCTGAATAAAAATTTGTCCCATTGGCTCAGTTAGGCCCCAATAGGAATTTCTATTATTATTATGCTTCATCATTTCTTGTGCATATTTAATCTTTTCTCCAAAAATATGATATTTTTATTGTAGACAAATATGACAATTCAACTAAGCACTACCATAATAATATTAATGATAATGATAGAGTTATTATAATAATAATAATATAAAATAAATAATGATCATAATTATAATTATCACTAACAAATAATAATTCAAGAAAGGTTGCAACGATCACTTCAATCCATTATAATCACATTTGATAAGCACAGATGAATCCTTGATTTGGTACATGTTTTCCGTCATACTTAAAATTTGTTATTGAATTGTTGAAGTCACGCCACATTCCGCCTGAAATTTCTGTTTGAAATTAGAATCTCTCAAGAAGTACAGCGTTGAATTTATTAATCTCCTTTAATTTTCATTTTAAAACTGATAGAATTTTGTTATTAATAGAATTTTTTCCGATATTTCAAATGTTTTGCTGCTACCATATTTCTAATAGAATAATAATAACTTTTGCTATTAATTATTGTATAGTTTTGTTTGATTTATAATAACCAAAATAAGCATTAACATTCTTTTTCTCTTTTAACATTTCTGATTGTTTTAATAGAAAAGAGAAAATAAATTAAAAGTTGTAATTGAGAAATTGATCAAATTCAATAATTTATTTCAACAGTTATATAATGTAAACTAACAATTTGAAATGACAACATTTGTGGTAATATCATTAGCATTATCCCAACCATCTGCAAAAATTCTCGTTCCATCAGACCAAATATGTTGTGAATGTGGTGAATTTAAATAATCTAGTAGTTGCTGTGCCTGTTCTTCTAAATGTGAATAAGATTTTTCATGATATGGACGCCATTGCCAGTTGAAATCATTTCTGAAGAATCAAAATCGATGATACAATAAATTTTCCGTCCAAAATTCTGACAAATAATGAAAAATTCAGCTGCTGTATTTTTGTTATAAGAGATCATAAATGTGATTATGAACTTTGACCGAATAATTGAGGTTTTACTGTTGCGAAATCTTGGGTAATTATCTTACCACGATGAGGAATGGGCAACAGTAGGTCATTAACAACAATTTCACAGCGCTGAATTACAATGAACGATTAGGTGATCAATTGACATGATAAATCTCAGAGAGCTTTGCAATCTCAGGAGGTCACATCGAATTAATTAGTGTTATTATAATTCAAAGGGAAACTGCGCTGAATATTACGATTAATATAAATAATAATTATGACTAAAAATTGACTAAAAACGGAAACAGAACAGCTAGAGGAAGTAGGCAATAAAATAACTAATCCGGTTAGTTCTAATGTCATTATATTAATGTAAATCATTACAGTTATGGTAAGCAAACCTATGTAGGCCGATATAATAGTAATAAGTATTTGCATCCGTTGTCGAGCATGATAAATTTAGTGCGCCATTTAATACCTTTACTAAAATGACCGATGTCCATTACTAATTATCAATGTTTAAAATAGTTTGATTAAATTGTGTAAATTTTTATCATCCACAAAGTATTGTTTCATTTACTTCACTTACAATAAACAATAAAATTTATAAGTGTAAAAAGATTTTTTGAATTGACCAATTTGATTAAGTATTTACGAAAAGTTTGTTTGCATATTTTAATTACTTTAACTAAAAATTACAAACCAAAAAGGAACATATTAATATTTTCATTTGGAACTCGAACCAGACTTGCTCTTTTATGTTTGTTTTGACACGGATCGCTTTTTTTGCTCGATATATCGATTGCATCTTTTGATGATGTTATTGTAAACTAAAATAGAACTAATAGTAATTCAAATTGAAATAATTGGAAAAAATCCTTATTTACTTACTTAAAATATCCTGCAATAATTTCATTAAATCACAATTATATTTGTGATTGCAAGAATGATAAGATAATTTGGTGACAGACGAGAGATTTCATCTTTAGTTATTAAATTTCTAACATTATTTCATCACTAATCAACAAAATGGATCGATGATAATTTGAGTGAGAAACTCTTTCAGGGTGGTCGGTTTTCTTTTAGATTCTTTGTTGTAACTCTCTTTTTTTTTTACTTTGCTTTTCAAGTTTTGTAGAATTAACAAATTACAATTTCATTAAGTTTATTTTCTATGAATTATTTAAATAATCTTTCTAACACTTCCAACTTCCTCTTATCCTTTCCCATTCCTCTTCATTGTAATTATCGTCAGCTATTATTGCTACAAAGAGACGGAATGGCTTATTATTTTGAATTTATTATTTTGTAACTAAAATTTAATTCCAGACTTATTATTTCAAATATGAGCTTAAATTAAATTTTAATTAACGAAAGTTAAAAATTAGAATTTACATTAAAATGATACATTATCATAACAAAAAAAGAAACGAAGGAAAATTGGAATTTTTTATAGATTATACCGCTTTATAGCAAAATTGATTGTATCCTTCATAAAACATAACCCATCCACTTTCACAAGGTATTGATTCTGAAATACGAAATTAAATGGCTTGTAATTATTGCAATTTTGTTCTTCCAATAATTATTCAAAAAAAAAAAGGATTGTTAATTTAAATTATTTGATATTATATGCTTTGCTAAAAAACACAAAATTATCTGCAAAGTTTTGTTGAATTACTTTAATTGATCATTTTAAAATTATTCGATCGGTTTATTTAATGTAAATCTAAGAAAATTTTGCTTGCTTGTTGTTTGTAAGATCAAATTTTATGATAGAAAAGAAAAAGAAAAGGATACGATTGTTCTAATTTTAGCAAAATTACTTCGTTAAACTGATAACTGATATAATGTGATAAGTTAAAGTAGTAAAACAAAATAATGGCAAATAATATATGTATATATACTTCTATACTGGGTACTACTTAATCGACAGAATCGACCATTGGGATGTTCTTCCATAACACCGAAATAAACCGGACTACAAAATTCCTCATATATTGCTTTGTGTGGAAACGGTTCCTATAATATTTTATTATTTCAAAACAAAGCAAAAAGAGTAAAATTAATAATAAAAAAGTAATTTAATTGTTGAAAAAAATGATCGCTCAGAATATTTTACTTTTAATGTGAAAATTTTTCTAAATAAGGAAAAAATTTCTATAAAATTTAGGCTTTGTTCTCTTTATAAAAAGAACAAAGCCTAAATTTTAAAATTAGCAAATTTCTCAAAACAATATTTTCCGATAATGTAAATAAGGAATAGTTCCGAAGTATGAAATACTTGATGAATTAATTGTAAACTGATCGATCTATTATTTAGTAGATTTGAACATTATCGGAATGGTATTGAAGAAAATCATCTTTCTTTTTCTCTCTCTCTATCTCTTTCTCTCTTTCTCTTCATTAAAGTATTCCATTATCATTTAAACAATCACTTAGAAGTAACCGAGAAATACCGGGGGCAGCTTGCAACAATCGAAGCCATGCTTATCTCTCGTTGGTATCGATGGTGGGATACAATCATTCTCTTAAATTTAAAAGATACTAAAGAATTGGGCTTATTCGAGTTCTTCACTTTTATTTCTTCTTTGAGTTTAAGGTTTTTTGATTGCTTTTCAAATAATCCATTTACTTCAAATCTGATTTTCTTAGTTATGCAAAAATTAAATTCTTATATTTCTGAAATTTGCAAAATAAATGAAACATCTCAATAATCGTTTTAAATTAAATTAAAAAATTTAATATCTCATATTTCTCCATCCTTCTGATACTTTAACAAAGAGAGAAACCTGCAAAATGAAAGTTTTGCAGCAATAAAAATATGGAAAATATAAGCAATTGCATGGTGCACTTCAATAATGCGCAATGATCAAACTGATCTATTTTGCAACATTTTATGAAATTTGAAAAAATTTATTCAATTTATGTTAATTTTTCATATGCAAAAATGACACCGCGAAATTATGAAAACAATCAATATTGTAATGATAACTGATATTTTCACTTTTCAGTAATTTTTAATTAAGTAATTTATGGCTAATTTTGTAAACGATTCAATTTCAAAAGTTTCTTTCTAGGTGGTAATGAGGATTTTGAATTTCCCTTTATTTATTTAAATCCTAAAGTTCGTCATTTATTAATAAAGATTTTAAATTGATACAGCTGAAAATGTTCAATTCAAGAATGTGTTGTGAATTGCCTTTGTAATTTTCATTGTCATCTTCTGACTGATGTTGTTGTCACCATTTTTGTATGAAATTGCTCGAATTTCCGCTGATGCTATAAGTAATGATAAAGAAGTGAATTTAATCAATTACAGGAATTTAATCAATCAAGTCTGAAGTTGCAGTATAATGCATTAAATATACACTCGTAGATAAAGTTTTAATGACAACTATTTAAATGATTAACAATGAATACTAAAGAATATATATTATCGACTGATTAATCATTTTGAAAAAGTTATTATCACTAACCTTCGATCTTCTGTAGTTTTTGGTATGAGTGATTATCATTTACTGTAGCATTATTCATAGATGTGACAGTAGACGACATTTACCATACATACCGATACAAACGTTTCTTTTACAATACATTGCATCCATCAAAGACATTATTTTATATGACTTTTAAATACTATCTTATTTCTTCCAATTTGAATTAAAATGGCAAAAGATTAAATCAGCAAAATTTTTTGATTGCTAAAATTTATTTAAATAAATAATTTTGAATGTTAATGAACTCATTAATATTTTTTAATTTTCTTTAAAATTTGTCAGAACAAAATGAATGACATTACTTATAAGGACACTTTCATCAATTTCATTTTCATTATATTATATAAACTATTATTGCTATTGATAATGATAAAAAGAAGCATATGAAATTATGGAAAGATAAATGAATCGATGCTGTTTACTGATAACTTTTAACAATAAAGAGTTTACTAGATTATCTTTTTTAACTTAAGAGTATATCGCAGACTAAAAAATAAAGCTATGATAGCAATTTTCACCTGCAAAGCTTTTTGAGAAAAGCAGTTGCCATTTTACAATTTATCATTTCATTTGGGAATGAATGAATGATTGATAATTCATAATTTAGCTAAAATTCAAACTATTAGAATTAATTTTGTAATAGAAATTGATTGATTCAATTTTTCATAAAAATATGTTAACAGTTAAAGTATAATGTGAAAGCATAAATTAAAATGTTCAGAGTTATGAAACTTTCATCTTTTGTTATAGCTAATTATTGTTGCATAGTGAATATAAATAATATAATGCATTGAAATTGACTAAACGATGAATTTAAATTTTATTGAAATGAATTTTCTATTTATTATTTACTATTTGATCGGTCTCTTATCTTTTTTTCTCTGATCGTTGATAAGGAAAGTTATTTGAGAAAATAAAGTAAAATAATAAACATTTGATAATTAAATTAATAAAGCATTACATTATACTGCTAAAATTCATTGCATTAAGTAATAAAATCTTTGTCAAATTTTGAAACAAAAGAATTCCTTAAAATTTTACACAATGAGTTTTATATAAAATGAATATGTTTCAAAGTTTTATGCATTTCCATTAGTATATATTGTAAGTTGAATTAGTTGAGTAATTAAAAATTGAAAAACTGTCCCCAATTAATAGAACCGATTTTACGGTGTTTACATTCGATCCAAAATAATAATTTGTTTCATTTCATTGCTTCTTTTCACTTGATCAGCTTTCCATAATTCCATTTTAAATCCATTCACGAATAAGCCTTTTATGACAACTTAAAGCAAATATGGACATCTCACTCACAAGTCTTACTAATATTGTCCACACTTAATAAATTTTCCATTAGCTTAGCCATTATCCGGCTTGTTTTACAATTCCAATAGCCAAATTTATGCAAAAGATGTGAGATTGCTTGAATTTTCCCATTCAACTATTTCTTTTATGGGAAAAACAAATAATAGTTATCGAAAGATTGGTTGGCAATAATCAATCGTCCCATAGTGCCATTCAAAATTTTCGAATGCTTTCTCAGTGATCTTTTTTTTGCTTCCTACATAATTGATAGCAATTTTTTCCTAACAGTTGAGTTTTTTAAATTTTAATTTTAGATTTTTAGATAACAAACAAAAACTACTGAAATTAATTCGGTAAAGATCGGATAATCAATGATTGATTATAAGGCTAAGCATTTTCTATAGTCATGATATTATTAATATTAATTCAATTACTTACAATTTTAGTAAATTAAGTTCAAATGTTGGGCGTTGTATGCTAAGGGTCCAGTGGTGTAGTGGTTATCACGTCTGCTTTACACGCAGAAGGTCGGCGGTTCGATCCCGCCCTGGATCAGGGCGTTTTGCTAACACAGTTTTAACATTTTGATCATCATATATATTATATATCATATAGAAATTATTGTACAAGTTAGCAACGTAATATTAATCAATTTAACTTATTTAATTGTAATTTACAGGAATTCAGATAAATTTATTAATAAGCAATCTGGTTTGTAAGAAGTATCATAAATATTACTGATAACAGGAACGTAATAGGCATGAATATTCGTTTTAATTCTGTGATACAAAATATTTTGAACTTTTGTTATTCGCATTTCATTGTAATACAGTATTGATCTTTTTTGAGCATTTTAATATGATATACACATTTAATTGGAGGACTGAAAGAGATGAAAGTCACAACATTTGGCCATATCTTTCTATTGCGTAGTGTTTTGGCTATAAACTCGACTTCAGAAAGCAGAAACGAAGCAAGAATATTTTATGATTATTTCATTATGGCTATAAGTTACTGTAAATTTTATGATTTTCAAGTTGACTAAATAGCAAAAAAAATTTCCGAAGTGGAATAATTTCATTTAATTTTTCATTTCAGCAAAATTCAATTGTTTCTCTGAAATCATCCATATCAAAAGTTGATAGTTGCATTGGTAAGATTCGCACAATTAACGGTGTGAATCCAAATTTTTGCAGTAACATTGATCGTATAGCTCAAACTGCACAGTATGATAAAAGCGACAAACTGTTGAGAAATAAAGTTCTTTAAGATCCATCCTTTTTTTCAAATTTTGTATTAAATCGCAAGTTTTAAGTTCATTTTTTACAGTACACTATGTTAAAATTAGTGAACTCAGGAAATATGATGAATCATTTCGCAAACAGATAAATGGAAATATTCCATTCAAATTCTCAAAATCTCACAATAGCCTTTCTAGATGTTCCTGATGTGTACAGAGGACGAAATTTCGGCAATGACAGAATTTCTCGACGAAGAAAGAGCAAGTGCTGAAATTGTTCAATTAATTACGCTGAATATGACGAAAGATGAGCAGGATTTTGTGAATATGATAGAAAAACAGTAATAATTTAGCAACGCTTCGGAGTTTTTATCTCAGTAAATACGAGGTAACTTAACAATCTCTTCAATTTTGCATTCCTGAAATAGCCAAGGTAAGCAAAAATGTCTAAGTAGGCAAATATATTATAGATGGCAACCCCATTTATCCGGTATACATCCCATCCAAATGACGAAAAATGCATTTCTTTTAAATATTCATCTCGTCCATCCATTACGAGAACCACAAGGCCTTCCACTTCCACACTGAACTACATTTAAAAATAGTTATTCACAATTGATATTTCGATTTAGTATTAGGTAACCAATCCTTCTATATCAAAATATAAATAATAAAAGGAGATTTCAGACTCAATCTATATCAAAGCTTCATATTTTACTCAAGCTTAAATAAGTATAACAGCCATCAATTTGTTTTTCACATTCAAAATTTAAAAATATTAAAAATAAATGTTAATTTGCAGAGTTTGCCGCATGACCAATATGAAATGTTGCGAAGATCGTGCAACAAAGTTTTGAATAAAATTGTAAACAGTAATTTGAAAGAGAATGTCGACCAGTTCCTCAACACGCTAACACCAAATGATAACAATAAACTGAGGGTTAGATATTTAAATGTTAGCTATGGTATATTTACATGGAATACAGTTGGAAATTCAACTAATAAGTTCAATAAACTCAGCCCGAAGAAATGTAATAATAATATTCAATGACTTCTGAACCTTCTTTTAGGCATACGGGATGTTATCTGAAGAGGATAAGCTCGTCGCATTCATTGACGAGAAGATAACTGAAATGAATTTCACTGGCATCGATAAAAGTGAAATTGAGAAGTATTTAAAAGATCTCTTTATGTCGTTAAAACTTGACTAACATATAACGATCTGAGCCACACAATTCCTACAAGATTTACTTTTGGTATAAAGAATCAATTCGATTTCTAAAATTTTTTAATAAGTATTATTCATTTTCTAAATAATAAAGGTTAGCTAAAATGCATCTCTAACATGAATAAACCAAAGGCGCAGAAATAAAACAGATGTCGCTGTCGAAAAGCATTAAAACATCTTAAATGTTTAGATATAAATAATAAGGAATCACAAGTCATATAAGCTTTGTGCAATGTTTCAAGATTAAAACAATTTATACCTGAAGAAACACAAGAAAATATAAGTATAGAAGATTAGAAGCACAGGCCATTGTTTAAAATAGAGAAAAAGAAATAAAAAGGATGAAGTATGTTATCAATTCGACAATTCATTCACAATTCGAACATTTTTTTATAACAAGAATAGTTTTTTCTCTTCCTCAAAAACGACTTGAAAATAAGATATTATTTTTAAAAAAACCTTATGAATTACAATGAAATTATGAAGCAGCACATCTAATGAAGCAAATAAACAGCTGATAATTTTATAAATACAAGGATGAAATAAATGATCGATAAAAGCTATAAACTTCTGCGATCAAACCTATATATCCCAAAAATGACTTTCCATAAGTTCCTTATGAATATATAAAGGACATTTTACCATTAGAAATTAAACACACGGTATTCAAATAACACGAACTTCAGAAGACTGGAATTATCAAATTTTTTGAAACATTTAAAGTTTCCAAGTCGAAAACTAACATGAAAATTTGCAAACAAGTATTAATTTTAGCAAGCACAGAATCGAAAGAAGAGCGGTAAATTCTACATGAGGTGATAACATCTAAAAATGAATTTTACAATCCAAGAAATTAAAAACTCAGTTTTTAAGAACAATAATCAAATCTCAAACATCGGAGATCTGAACCAATTCTTCATCGGTTACTTCAGGAACTCCCGTTTCTTCGGCTGCAGTTGATTCGGCCGATCTCATTTCTTCGATACATTGCATGACAGCGCAACGCACAAGCTCTCGCTGCTCCGGAGGAAATGTTAGAATGGATGAGGCGATAATGCGGCTAAAATGCTCATCATCTATATCTTGTCGCCTTTTTTCCGCTCCAGTCAGTAAATTTAAATTCCCCATCGCTCTATCTGTCTCCTGAAACATAATTTTTTTTAAAAATGCAAAAACAATGAGCGGAAATCCGTTCCATTTGTTATAAAAACTGATCTATTCCACGCGTATATTATCATTAGTGATTACCAACTTCGTTTTAAATCAATTTTATTAATATAATTTTTTGGCTCCATAAAATATTAACTAATAAAATGTCAAAAAACATACCAAATTTGTATCCTCATAATGTTCAATATCGTTGTTGCCGTTTCTGGAGAATGGTTGGGCTAGTTCGGAATCAGAAATGCTACGCTTCAAACGTGAAGGTATGGGAGCTTCTTCACCTCTATTTTCCATGGAAGGCAATTCGCTGAAAAAGTAACTGGGACTAAGATAAGCCAAAAAGAACAATTTCCAGTTTTTATCATAATAATGACAATATCATAATAATAAAATTATAAGCGCTGGAATTACTTATTAACAAATGAACTTCCGTCGTTCGATTTTGAAATGATTTCATCAAACGAATTTCCTTCCTGCACGTATACCACGTCCACAAATTCATCTCCATCAGCGTAACTGAAGCTCAAATAGGGATTTTCAAAACTGAGAATAAAAAATGGAAATATCTCTCTTCAATTACTAAGGCAAAACAAAAATCGTAAATGATGAGCTATAAAAAAAGTTTCATAAGTTTTCAGCTATTTACTTACGAGCCATCTTCTCGAATGAATACTTCGCCAGCATAAGACGGACCTCCTTCACCTGCATAACTGTTGTAGGTAATGACTTTCCCTTTATCAACACAGTGCTGTGCAACTGCATACTGCTGTTCTTAAAAATCACAGTAGAATCATATACACTAAAAATTTATCATTTGCTTTCAGAGTATGAATATTTTATGACAAACGATTTTTCCATAACAGTGGTGTTTTTTTTTTTAAAAAAATCCTTTCAAACTTATAGCTACAACAAGCTGGGATCTTGATAACTTATCCTCAAACTCTTTTCTCCCAATATCTACAACAACTTCGACTATAATCTTTATTGGGATAAAAGCTATATGAATAAAAGAGTTCTATATCAGTTTTGATAAATTAGCAAGAATTAATGTGATTAATGTAATTTCAGAAACCTAAAACTGTCATACCATCATAATCATCGAAATCTTCTTCATCAACCTCTTCCACCCACGCGCTATCATCATCAATGTCAAAACCATCATCACCTCTCGGTTTTCCAGCAATTGCTGTAACACGTTTTGTTACCGGCCTGATGATCCCTTCAATGAGATTATCGTGCATTTTTCGTAAGTGACGTAGCATCGCCCTCGTTGAACCCAACTTGCGTACCATGACCTGAAAGTAGAAGGGAAATTCATCAAAATACTCAGAGAGGAAAGAAGGCTAAGATTAAATGTAATAAAACTTATAAATTTCCAAATTTGTATTTGAAGCAATTTTTTGTAGACTTCCACCAGACGAAATAAAAGCTATCACCGTAAGAATAACGAATTTCTAGTAACAAAAGGAGATCCTACATCTTTTTCTAGAAAAACTTATTAGCTAAAAAGTCTTACCATGCCACAAATTCTGCATTTTGCTTTTGATTCACCATCTTCGTCGAATTTCTCGCAAAATAACCAGACTTTTGATTTTGCCTTAGCCAGTGGGTCATCCGCAGCCTCTTCCTCATGCCTAAAATCAAAAATGATATAAAAACGAACTTTTCCCGTAGAGATTCATTTTTTTTTCTAATAATATTTTTCTCAATGTTTACTCATTAATTTTTTTGGCAAAAAACGTCTTATTTGGAAAAGGGAAATCGCAACATAATGAAACGTTAAGCGAGTTTAGAATCTCTAACTATGTCACTCTATCAAAGGCCACGCAAAGCCGCTCACAAGTAGAGAAAAAATAAAGGAAATAATATGAGATAATAAAATGAAAAGTGGTATCTTCAAAAGCACACAAATGAGTGAAGAAACGACACTGAAATGAAAGAGGTGTTTAAAATAACCTCAAAGCTTCTTGTCTAATTGACTCTTCCACATCTTTATCCCAATTCTTTGGCTCATCAATTCTTTTCCGCCTGACGATTTTCTCCTTTTTTGGCATTCCCAAACACCTTAGAGAATGAGAAACCAAAGTTATATTGTTGTTAGATACAGAAGTTGCGCTGTAAAAAGTGAAAACAGTAAAATGTTTCGGGATAGCAAATCCTCTTCATTTGACTCCAATAAATGACATATAAGTTTTCGACAGTTATCAGACTTTTGATTTTTCAATTCAACATTTGCTTTTTTTTTTCAACTTGAGTTGACTACTACAACAGTGAATGTTGAAAGTGAGGTAATGGACAGAGTATTACCCAACACGCGACTTCTTCAGATCAAGTCTGGATAACATAGGTGTAGGCGAATAGCTTTTCCGTTTAGATGTACGAGCCGATCGACGTAACGAAGAGTCAGTGGCTAAAATCGTAGTCAAAAATCAGTCTCAATTTTTGAACTTAACAAACAGAACTTCCTATTGTGTTTTAGCAACGAGTTATCTCAATTAAACTATTTGTCTATTCTGAAATTCTGTCATTTATTCCACAAAATAACTATCTCGGTGTAAATCAACAAAGTAAGTGGTAAACTATAACCTTCTTTCTAACAACAATTAAATACAACGAGTAAAAATATTAGTAATTCAAATCACATGATGACTATATAAAATCAAATTTCCGCTAGTTCCTATTCATTTCTCTCAAGTATTATGAACTAGCGATCCCAACAATTTGAAGAAACGAACCGTCTGGAAGTTGAACTCCAATCGATTGGTTATGTGTATCAATATCATCATCTTCCTCTCGAATACTAACTCGTGAACCATCAATTCGTGAAACACGTGATGTAGTCATTCGAACATAACCAGGTTTGCTATTGACTGCCTCTCCCTGAAAACTTGCAACGATACTTTTCAGTTTTTTATGCTGTTGGAAAAAACTGAGCAAAGCCAAACTGTAATGGAATATATTCCGAATGTCGAGAACTGCCAATATAGATTGGCTGGATTTAAGTAATTTGCAACTCATAAAGGTATTCTTTAAATAGATTAAGTGAAACAGCTAAGAGTCGGTGTTTAGGGTTCTGGCAGAGCGTTCGTGTCATACAGTTAGACAGGTGAACCATCTGACCAAAACAAACCCTCATTTTATGGATCTGCTGCCAAAGTGTTGTAAGTGCAATTTGTTCACCCGTCTCCTCTGAAATTCTATCCTTTAATTCGCGCAGACTTTTAATAGTACCATCCAGTCGCCGTTGCATTAAATCCATCACTTCTTTCCTATCAAACACATTGCCTTGTCGTCGACCCATTTTCTGAACATAGAACAACTTTTCGGTGATTTTTAAGGCATTAGCTTTGAAGATTAACATAAATTAAAGTATGGCAAGATTCAGTAATAGTGTGGGTTATTATATATTACAAGAGGTGATAAATGCTGCAACAATCAAATTATAAATGAACCGAGCTTTGCCCTCATAACCAAACTTTCACTTTGTTTCACTTCTACTTTTTGTCTAAAATCGATGATTTAGCTGCCATATGCAAAAACTTTATTCGCCTACAATCAACACTTCTCCATCACATTACGTCTCTCACAACTCTGTATCCCAGACAATACACCTCCCACCCAGCACCTCACGGATTGTCTGAAAATACTGAAGAGAAGGTAATTTACGGCCTTATTTATATAAATGTATTACGGAAAGTTATGGTTGTATGTAATGAAAACATTTCATCCCTCAGCGCAGTTTGAAGTATGAATATTTGAAATTTTTTATAAATATGCAAATTAAAAAAGATTATCTTTGCTTGTTGTATTTGTAATCCAATGAATATTTGGTTTTAGAAATTGTGCTCTGAAATTTGGCTTTAAAAAAATTAGCTCTAAAAATTTTAGAAAAAGAACTACCGAAAGTCTGACGGAGAATGGATCTCGCGCTTCCCGGTGCTTTCTAGAAACCGTTTGAAGATCCATAGATATTCTTTACAAGTGATATAGACAGTATCATCTCTTTTGGATCAATGGTCATCGCTAAAAAGAGTGAGAATTATTATCTACGGTTTCGGGAGGTACCGTTACTTGCTCCTCTAGATAGCGGTACCTCATGAAACCGTAGATTATTATTTTTTCTCGAAAAACTTATGCATGCAAAGAAAAGAATAACAGTGGTTCTAAAAGGGCTTCAAGAAATCATTTCCTTGTTCATCGTTCTCCGCAAATTTTCATGTGTTTTGTTATACAAAGCAATTTCCATTTCTCCACATCAAATTTTCATTGTTCAGACTGATTGCCTTTATTCGATTTTGAGTTTTATATAATATAAAGGTGAAAGATAACCTTAATGATCCTTTAAGGAATGGTCATATATCTAAAGGATCATATTAAACTGACATTAGTGTATAAAATTGAACTGCCTGCTCGAAAATCGTAAATTAGACTAAATTTTATGGCAAACTGCATGCGTCGTAGAATTTTTCTGACTGGCTTCTCATTCCAGAAGTTATTCCATGAGGTCAACACAACCGATAACTGTTTAGTCTTCTTCCTCTTTCCCTTTCTGATTATTTTCTGAAACATGAATGTAAATTCAATCATGAAAGCATCTGTATCTATACTAATTCCCGAAAACATTTCAATTCTATATCAAATCCCTCCAACTAGTAATCCCGATTGCTGATGACCTATGCTGCTCCAGAATCTGTATTTTACCGATACAAGCGATTAACTTTGATTAACTTTAAATTTTCATTACTGAAATGCAAAACGATGCTCCGAATATGCATTCCTGTTCTTAGTGTGGTTAATTTGAGCATCTTGAACGATTGGACAAAAGCATTAGTCATTTTTGCATTCACTCGAAAGAATGCAAACTCTCTCTTAAATTCATTCTTCTTCACCTAGAAATATTGATTCTGAAAGAAAATAACATTTTATAATCTACGGTTTTTCCCTTTTTTATGCAATGGCTTGGATCAGAGCCGAGAATTTGGCACTATATATAGCATTCTGTGTTGAGGATATCGCATCCGTTTTCATTCCTCTTCCCATCCTCTCTGCCGTTTTTCTCAATTTTCTAATTGAATATGCATGCTTTGCTGATTTACTTCATGTCCCATTGAGAGCAAAAGAAAGACATAGTATGGAAGAAGGAAATTAGATTTTGATCTGGCAAAAAAGGATAAGAGGCAGACGAACAAAATGATATCCAAATATATAAAATAAAGTGACGTTATTATTAGTTGAATTGTTTTTTTGGGAAATAGAATCAATTAAGAAGTATATTTCATCATTCATCATGCAATTATTTTCTACAGTTCCTTTTGTTTCGTAATTATAATTGTGATGAATAAAATTTGATGAATTTTTGGATTTTATTATTTGGAATTTCTGGAAAATTAGCAGCTGAGTTGATTCAGAATTATGTTTCTTCTTTAGAAGTTCGTAACTTCTTTGTAATTTTTATATATTTTGAACTGAACCATAAGCTTTCATATTTTTAAAGACGCTAAAGTATTCCAAAAACTAATAAAGTGACCTCTTCTTGTCGCCTTATATGATGCGGGCTACTCTTTGGACTTGGCATCAAATGTTGCTGCTTGCTGTAATGTTTGTTATGAGAGGGCATTTGAATTCGATGGAAGTGGATGATAATGATAATGATAAGAATCAATTATTGCCTAATGTTGAGAAGTGCACCGCATTTGTTGAACAATCAATCAGTAAATGTCTCCAGGCATGTTTTCCTTGTTTTTTATTTTGAAAAATTATTTTTTAAAGCTATGTATCTAACAGCAATAAATAACATAGCTTTAGCCAAAAAGTATATTAGTTGTCGGTGAGAAAATTCCTCTCATATGCTCGAAAATAAAGCAAAAGGCAATTTCATTTGTTCTTTCTCTTAAGAAATTGATTGAAGAGAAGAAAGATGAATCTAGCAAATACATTTAAACATCATTTCAAAGTGTAAGCAATCACTTCGATTTGTTGTAATATCAGAAAAGTTGGTTAACATATTAATGAATCATATAATTAATTAATTGGTAATGATAGGATTCTGTTATCTCAACACTCACCGTGATATAAGCATCTTTTTGCATTCCCATCAGTGCAACACTAAGAGAAATATTATTATTGTATAACACATAGCAAAGAACATACCTTGTATCATTGATACAGTAGCACTAATCTTATTTATTTCATAACTGATTTTTAAGCCAATCTTGGATTATGCAGGAAAACTGCAAGATAAAGGTGCAGTACAACTGCCTGCACAAGGAACGAATATTTTCAGAGAACTCTGTGATATTTATGCTCATTTCAAGGTATTATCTATTTCTAACTTATTCAAATTTTCTCCTATCAGCAGTTGCCGAGTTTCATAGAGTTATAACTTTCATTTAGTACGATTCTATTGTAGGTTTTAAATTTCACATCTTTTTTTCTGTGAGCAGTTTTGAAAAGTTTGCAAATATGGTTTTATTTACAAATGAAACTCTTATAGTCAGTTCAGTTTATAGTTCTTTAAGTTGTTTTTATGTGTTATTTGTTTTGTTCATATCTTGTTTAAAAATTTTTACATTTCAATTAAATTGTCTAGTAACATGCAAAGAAAAGAATGTAAATTTACAACGAATTTGTGTAAAATAGACAAAATGCAAAAATAGTGCATTTCTTTTATATTATTTTAAATTTAAGATTTTTCATTACAGGTATCTTTTAGTTTTGCAACACTGAATGCATCTTTCATTCGATTATAGCTCTAAAATTTTATGAGCAAAATTTTAATCACTAGGAATAAATAATGGATTTGCTATTGTTTATTCCTAGTGATTAAAATCTCAGATCATGCATGGGTTAGATTGTTAAATTCTTTAATTGAAATTGAAATTTTAAATCAGTATCGGATATTATAAGAGAAAGGTTGTGAAAGAAAAAATCACTTCTTTTCAAGCACTTATGACAGATCATACATGGTTTACAAAGATTGCAGGAGTGCACTCAAGATATGTCTTGTTCAAGTATATCGCTGGAAGCGATTGATGCTAGTTACGGATACATGTGTGGTGAGAAATATCAATTATTTGAAGATTATGCTACCTGTTTTGCTGAGGTAAGTTATTCGCTCTATCTTCAAATTAAGCAATAATTTGAGACTTTGGAAATATTAAATTTTGCTTAATATTGCTTTCATTTTTTTCTTTTTACTTTTCATTTAACTTCATCTTTTAATCTCCATTATGTTTAATTATGTTAATTACTTTCGAGTTTCATTCAGGAGACTGTTAACCTCATGATTCCTACAGCTAGTAATCAAAGAACTTTAATTTATGAGAGATTAATGCTCATTTAATTCCATTTATGTTGTTTCTTATTTTCCATTATACATAATTAACATACAGGTAGAAATAGAAAATAATTATGTGGAATGCAGAAATGAAGCAAGTGCAGCTATAACAACGGCACAAAAGGCGAAAATCGCTAGCGATTATAGCCAATATTTCAAGGTTTGATAATTTGCGTTTTTTAAAACTTATAAAAAAGCAAAATTTTAGATGTAAAAATATTTCAATCCTCTCTTTTAGCTTTTATGCGACATTATGAATCATTATTTGCGATGTTGTCATCCTGTAATCAATACACATTGTGGACGAGGCGCTTGGGAATTAGTGCGAACGGTAAGCTCAAATAATATTAAGATTTTCAGGTGAAAAATATTAATTACAAGCCATTGATATCATAATTATTTAATCAATCAATGCAGCTTCCTTTGATTGTGTGTGTGTGTGTGTGTGTGTGTGTGTGTGTGTGTGTTAGATTTCCATTAATATACCCGAATAATTTTTCCATTGTTCAATCTTGTCGAATACACATTTATTCTTTCAATGTTGGGAAAAGCTATGAGTTATATGGACTGCTTGTGGTAATTACCGATGGTTCTTTAAGATCTGAAAGCTTACTTCAAATTCTAAACATTTAACTCATTCGCCTTCATGGTTATTATTGAATCAATGATGAATTTTTAGCTTTTATGTTTTCCTTAATTATTTGCAAAGAAAAAAAATTTTTTTTTAATTACACTCATTATTCTTTTAATTTTAGTAATATTTTCATTCATTAAAGAGTAATGGTTCATGTTTAGCTGTTGTCTTAAGAAGAATTTCAGAATTTTATTTACTGAATTAATACTACTGGTTCTAATTATACATATATTTAACAGGTTACTTTGGACAGTTTACGTGTAACTATGCCAACATGTGATTTACATAACACATTATTGTAATTTGTTTAAATTCATATATAAAAGCAAGTACAGTAAAATTTTTTGATAAAAAAAGCTGTCAACGTTGAAAGATACCCGTTCTATCATAAATGTTTCAATTTCAATATTTCAATTGCTCCATTCAGCACGTTTTATTTCATTTACTTTAGGAAAAATTCTCCTTTTGTCGCAGCAGGAAATAACAATTTTTAGGATTATCAATCAAGAATCTGTTTGCCAAAAGAAAATGATGTTTCCAGAAGGTTCTGGAAAGCGTTTTTCTTGATGTATTATCTTGAAAAATTTGCTTTCATCGCCTTCTCAATATTTAGTTCTATTCTAAATCTGTACGCGAGGACATATATCAGCAAGTTGCCTGAAAATTTCCATTTCATTTTAAGAAATTTTGAAATTTAGAAATAATAATAATAATGTGACGTTTTTATTAATTCTATTTTTAAAATGATGCTTATTTCTTTGTTTAATATCTCAAATAAAATGTAAAAATTTTTAAGAGTATGAAAATAGAATGCTCTCAATTTGTAAACAAAACTCTAATTATTACAAATAATTAAAAAGAAATTTAAATATTTTAGTTCTATAGCCGATATAATTTAGAAATTTCTATAAAACATTTCCTCCTTTAAAAATTCGAGAAATGAAACAAAAGTATTCATAGCAGTCAAAAAATTTTCCGAAAATAAGTTTATCAAAAATTTATGACTTGAATTATCTGTCTATTTCCGGAAAAACTTTCCGTTGTAACTTAAAACTTTTTTTATCATAATCTGATTTATTTTTATATTTAATAGCTTTGAAAAACTAACTGGATACCAGCATTGTTAAGACAAAAGCAGAGATCCTGTATTGTTGCTGTATGTAGGCCCATATTAATAGCGCAAGTTTTGATTATTTGAACTACCGCATTATCAGGCGGTAAATCAAGACCACAACTGGAAACAAATATTGTTAAATGTAAATCAACATTTTAATATCCTATAGTTGCTTTTTTTGAAAAGCTCTAATGATAACACTCCAGATTTCGATACTTCAATACTTTAAGAATAGAATAGGAATCTGTCACGAATAAACACTAACAAATATATCTTTTAAAAAAAATCAGTGGAAAAATTTATCTATTAGTATTTTACCCTGTAGTACATTTATCCAGTCTCCTTGTCATGCACGACTGGAAGCATCGGAAAAAGTGTCGGCCTTGAGTTAATATACTGGCTATCTGATCTGCTATTCCTGAAAACATATCATTGAGTGATTTCTTTTTTTTAAATATAATCTGTATATTTTTACAAATGAAAAAATTTTGCTCTCATCAATTGTTATTGTTTTGCTTTCAAAAATAGCCTTATTATTGATTTAAATGACCAATGGACATTTTAATAATCCCAAATTTTCATCTTAATTTTACTTATCTCAATTATGCAATAAAGGTATATTTCATTAGAAAAGAAAAGACAAAATATAAAAGTGATATGCTATTCTAAGAAAGATTCCAACAACATATATATCATTTCTTTTGATCGAATTTAAAAATAATTTGAATTGAACTATTCCGTTACCCATTCTGTGTAGATCTTTATTGATTTCATTCATTGCTGCAAGTTCGATACTTTTTGTATACCGACGTGGTATCAAGTTTGCTACTCTTCCATGTACACATCTTAAAATACATATACTCAGTTAATTTGTATAAAAGTAAAAACAAAGGATCAATGAAAAGACCTGCCAACTATGCTAATTTTTCTTTTTTTGAAATAAATGATTTAGTGAAAGTTTTTATCTATTTTGAAGCACTTATCAACTATCATTATATCAATTAATACAGAATAAACAGGTATGTTATTATTATTCATTGATATGAATGTTGAAATGAAATTCAATATAGAAAAATTAACGAAAAGAAATTATAATCTTCTATTGCAATTGCAATTAAGAATTCAAGAAAAGAGAAGAGAACTAACGAATTGGGAAAGGAATTTTGTGAGCACATTATCGTACCATTAATAACTTGTTGCTTTTGTTGAAAACAACTACGAATTTGTTGATAGTTTCTGCTAATAGAAGAAATGTATTTCTGAAAAATGAAATTTATATATGAAATAGAAAGAAATGGAAATGTATTAAATGCCTAAGCAAAATATATTAACTTAAAATTTAAAATTAAAATAATTAATCATGTTTAATTTCAATTAATTATTACATCTGAAATTCTCTACATATTCTTTATAAACTACAGGAGATTGCGCCGAAACTGATGTATGGAAATATAGTGATTTAGATTTCTAATCAAGTTTCATCTGATCACTAAATTTTATATACATTAGAAATTGGCCAACAATGTTATCCGAAGGATTTAAAACAACGTGATACCTCCGATCAACAGATGAGTTGAATGAAATATAATAATGTCAGTGAAAAAAATGAAGAAGTATTATGTGTTATATTGTATGATAATTAAGCATGATGGAATTGCCGGGTAAATTACCTGACATTTATCAGCACATGGCAAAATTGACTTGACGGCAATTGTTTTGCATGGTTCAACTTCATCACACATACATTGCCGTATCATTTTTTGCGCACTATTCATTTCTGTCCATATTACGATTATCAGTAAAATAACCAAACGCATCGTTATCATTATCCTGATCTGATAATTTATGTTAAAATGTTCTAAAAATTATCCTGGCATTAATTTATAAGTTAAAAATATTTAGCATAAGTTCTTTTTCTTCGAAACCTTTTTGTATTATTTATAAAACAAAGAATATAGCGCTTCTTACGATGAATTACGTAACTTTATGAATGAAAGCAAAACGAATATTTTGGCTGGAAACATCTAACTTTCGATATTTTCAGCAATTTGATTTTTTTAATTGCATATTTTAATTTAAATTTTTATTCATAAAAAATGAACAATGAAAAGAAAACAATAATCTTTTTAATTCTTAACTTAATCAATTTTAATTTCTCATTTTATTTTAAAAATATATTTTAAAAGCAACTCGCCAATGAGAATGAAAGAGCTCAATCATTGAATGAAAACAAAAACGAAGAAATAAATTGTAAATTTTTGGTGATGTAACGAAATTGAGAGTTGACAGAGTTTAAGGTTAATGTTAAGGTTAACAAAAACTTGATTCATTTCAACTTTCAATTTTTTAAATAAAATTAATGATAACTCTATCATTGGATGACGAGAAAGCTCAATTGTTAAATTATAAATTATAAATAAGAAAAATTGTGAATTTTAGTAAAAGCAAAAGAAGGTCAAGGTCAAGACTCAGTGAAAATTTGTGAGACAAATGTTGACATCGAATATTTTGTCTTTATATTTAAAGTGAAACTGAAATGACTATAAGTCAAACCCTTTATAATGACTAGTTTTCCAAATTAAAAAGAATCAAAGACCTAATTTTCTTTCGTTTTAATGGTAAAATGAAATAAAGGGAAAAGATGAAAATAATTTTGAAAATTTATTAAGCAATAATTACAGAGAGAATTAGTGATAGAAAAAAATTAAAAGTAAAAGTTGTTTTTTCTAAAAAATTTTTCTTCACAAAGAAATAAGTGAGAAAAAGATAATTTAGAGACAACAGGAAAAGGAGAGAAAGTTTGGCGAAAAAAGAATTCATTCATTCTTTCGAATTTTAATTTATTATATAATTTTTTATTAAATTATAATAAGCTTTAAAAAATTTCCTCCAATAATCATTAAGGCTAATCTTTGTTGAAATTTTTATAATTAAATTATATTTTAAAATTTACTTTCATTATTATTTATATATTAGCGTTAGAAGAAATTTCCCAATGGAAGTACTATTACCTTTGAAGACTGTAACAGATAAATCAAAGGTTGTAAATTCAACAAAACTCGTTTTTGTTGACAGATCAAATAATGGTTCGTTCCACTTTCACATTGCTAAAAATAGCAAAAGCTTGTTATTATTTTGAAAATTATTTGAAATTTAAAAAATTTCTGTTGGTTTTCTTCAACATTTTCTTAAAATTGCTAATATAATTTGTTGAAATGGCAAAAATGTCAAATTAAATTAAAAAAAATCTTTCATAAATTAATAAATTTTAAAGTGTTAAAATTATAAGTTTTTTTAAGAAATTTTTTTATTGCATTATTTAAAATTTATTAATTACCAAATTATTAAGAAATGAAATTACAGTAATTATATACTATTAATAATAAAATATTTGTCGAAATTACAAAATGACTTAAAGAAAATAATAATTCGATCATGAAAGAATATAATAAACAATGAAAAATTACAAAGAAAGAGTTTTGGATAATAGATCTTTACAAAATTAAACTAATCACAAATTATAAATCTATTACCATAACACTATTACCGTAATACTTCTTACTACTGTAGCATTTTTATTACTTAGTCTTACTATAGGAGTTTTGTTGCATCTGTATAACGTAAAGCTGACTTAGAAGTGATATTAATCTCACAATGATTAATGATATTTGATAATTTTGGTTAAATTAATTTGTACACTATTTACTTCCTCTTTACGATTGAAAAATAAAATATTCCTGCTTGAATTATTGTAAAACTTACTCAATCTTTATTTCATTACTACTGTAATGCTTTATTTAACTGTCAAACCTGTTTATTAGAAATAAATTTTTTGCAATAATTAATGAGTTTATCTTGTTCATATTTTATTTTTTTTACAATTAACTGTTAGATTAAATATTTCAGAATTATTTGTTTATATTATTCTCAAAGCAAAAAAGAGAAATGAAAAAGGAAAATTCAATAAATTTCATTTTAAAGAAATAATTGAAATTGGCAAAATAAATATATCAAATAAATATAAGGAAATAATAAATATAAATTTGAATTTGATTTTTTCATTTTCAATTTTTGTTTATTTCAGTAATATAATTTTTATTTCTTTTTGATAAATAAGTATTTCATAAATTTTGTAATTATTTATGTGACACAATGCATTTTGCTATCTTTCTGTGTAAAAGAATTTGCCAAATTTACAGAACAATTAATTTATAGTTGTGCAAATAAGTTAGCATTATGACAAATTGGCAACAATTTTGTTGTTAAAAAATTTTTCTGGAAGATATTGCAATAATTACCTCAAACTATCAAACATTTGATCTCACATTTCCTTTTCTTCATATCACACTTTCATTTCATCTCACAATAATTCGATCCGATCTGATCTGATCTGATTTTCTCCTCACTGATTATTGTTTACCATTTCATTTCATTTTGTAAAGTTGGTTTTTCTGTTTTTCTTTTTCTTGGAAATTTATAGCTTAACCGATCATTTATTAAATTGCAAATATTAAAATAAAACTTCCCCATCTTCCCTTCGAATACACTTAAATGAAAAAATTGCATAACCATTCATATTTTATGAATTCTTTTTAAAGTCAGCTAAAGGTAAAGAAAGGAAGAGCCGATGTTAACATATTCAATCAAAGATTAAAGAATTACGGATTAAAGGATAAGTTGAGAATTTATCTCAAATTTGAACACTACATAGTTTGCAGATTATTTTAATATGAAGTTGGAACCTTTCAAGGAAGTGTTTAAACGTCAGGTACCTGTTGATATTGGTAGACCAATACCAATGATAGCATATGAATTGGATCATCCTAAAAATTGTGGTGATCCTTGGATTGGTGCATATTCAAAGCATGGTTTCTGGTATCAATTTTCAAATGGCACAAATGATGATTATCAGAAAGTAAAATTGTTCTTCGATCACTTTAGTTAATTGAAATTTTAGAAGTGCAATTAATCATCATTCTCCTCATTAAGATTAATTTTGAGAATTCAGTTCAATCAATAATATCATAATTTCAATATTGATTTACAAACATAGCAAGCAATTGATATAGAAACATACAAGCATTCATTTTTTTTTACAGGTAGTTGCTCGAGCATATGATAGTGATTCATATAAAATGGATTATGATTCACTTAAGATATGGAAAACCATGCCAACCTATCGTTGTCGATTCATTGTCGCCAAAAATCTAAGTGAAACATTTAATATCTTCTTTTTGCTTCAAATGCAATGTGAATAATTGCCACATGTTATTGACAAGTTTCTTCGTTCTAATAAATATCATATTAAATTGATTTGTACTTGCAGTCTGTTTTTTAGCAATTTCCTTTTTCACTTCGCTTGTTGTTTTTCAAAAATTTCCACTCTTTCATCTTTCAATAACATTATGAACATCATACGGTTTTTCCTATGGTAATAACAAACATACTTCTGATTCATTGCAAAAAAAGCTTTAAAAAACATACTTCTGATTCATCATACGGTTTTTCCTATGGTAATAACAAACATACTTCTGATTCACGAACTTAATAACTTTAACAATGATAATAAGAAATAGCCTTGAGTTAATAAATCTCAGTTGATTTTTCCTTTTCTTTTTTTCAACTAACAATACAGGTTGATACATCTGAGATAAAGATGAAAATGAAAGAGAAATTATGAATTGAAATTATTAACAAATCAAAGAGAGAAAGAGAAAAAGAAAGAAGGTGAAATTTGTGAATGATAAATGAGAACTAATTTATGATAATCTCAAATTTAAATTTTAAAATTATACATTTATTTCATTTTTTTAAATTGCAATCTGATATTCGTAAAATTTAAAAAGAAAAATGAAACGAACGATATTATTTCGTTCCTGACAGAGTGTCTCATGTATTTTTGTTTCTTTCTTTTACAGGTGATGAACTTCTTGGCAGCATAACGATAGCTTATTTTAATGATTTCGCAGTAATTGGTGTATATTATGTAATTGAAGAGTATCGACATTCCGGTATTGGAAGCAAACTTTTTAACGAAGCATTGAAAAATGTTACTAACAAACAAAATACCATATTTCATTCATGTAATTCTTCTTCTCTTCTTTAAATAGCATAAAACAATGCTCATTATAAGATGAATAAAAATTAAAAAAATTCAAAAATCAAAAAATGAAATGGAATTAAAAACTTGTAAAAATGATATACACAAAATGTTAAAATTCTGTTTGCTAAGAAAATAAGAAAGTAAAAAAAGATTCAGTACTTATTGATTAATTATTTAAATGATATAATGAAGTAAAAAAGTGCTATCAAATATGGAATTTCCTATTACTACTACTAATACTACTAAATGTTTATTAACGTTGAAAAAAGCCTTAGTATATTTCTTTTCTTTTAAATCCATTATTGATTAAAAGTAATTCATTTCAAAAATTATGAAAATTTATTTTAAATTTCAAAATACTAACAATGTACTGTTTTTGAAATTTTTTAGTACAGGATTAAGCTGATCGTTTAGAAAATATGCTTTAAATAAAATCAAATCAGAAAACCGAATTTTTAATTCGTAATACTTGAATCGTTATTTTTTATCATTTATATTTCTTTTCATTCAGTATCACATTTGGCCAATAAATGTTATCGTTTTGGTTTTACGGCATCATTCCTACAAGAATGGAAATTTGCTACATATAAGATCAGCAATCCGTCAGCATTTCCCACACTTCAGGTTTTCTTTTTTAATGTACTTACTCTTTCTTATATATCTATTCATTTGATTGTTTCTACAATATTATTAAAGCAAATTGCATTAATAAATTTGAATCATTTACGGAAATTTTTCAGGAGAAAGAAATTACAGTTATTAAATACAGTAATCTTTCGGAAGCTGAACTTACAGCTTTGCTGAAATATGATGGAAATGTAACAAATGTGAATCGAGATATTTGGCTAAAAGAATGGCTTCAACAAGAAAATTACAGTACTTATATAGCTTTTAAAGAGGCATTCTTTGTTCATTTATTTTAATTCGAATTTTTAACTTTCTTTTATTTCGTTTTTCCTTCTTTCTTTATCGAATTTTACCACAAATTTTTTCAAATAAATTTTACAATAAATTCTTCAAATATAGTATAGATATTTAGAATGAAGTGATCGGATATGGAAGTTCGAGAGAGATTGCTGGAGGATATGTATTACCAATATTGGTTGGCCCATTATATGCGGATAATTTCGAAACTGCTAGTGCTTTACTTCACGCTTCACTAAAGAAATACTATGTAATTGTTAATTATTCTTACAACATTATCATTTTCTTCGAGAATTCAAAATGCTCGAAAAATATTAAATTTCATTATTTTTTCATTTTTTTTCCCTATAACCATGATTAATGATTACGATAGTATTAATTAAGTGAAAAATTATAGAGTATTTTTAGAATTATTTTTTTTCAGAATCCGGATGAAGATTACGATTGGGATCCTGATATTTTTGCAATATATAGAAGGGATGTGTATTTTGTAGTACCAGAGCAAAACATTCAAATGATAACATTAATGGAGAAACTAAAAGGTGAAATGGGAACAATTAACAAAGATCGACTCTATTATATTGTAGGTATTTTTCATTTTCGATAAATTAGAAAGCAAAATTGGAAAGTAAAAAACTCATAGAAACGAAATTAAAAGAACTTAAAGTAATTTAAATATAAGTTAAATATAATTCAATATAATTTAAATATAAGTTAAATATAATTTAAATATAAATATAAGTTAAAGTAATTTCTTACTTAGCTATTAAAATAAGCCAAATCTTACGTAAAAATTTGAAATAATAATTCAGTAAAAAGAAAAATGATAATTTGGAAAGAATTGAAAATTATTTCTGATCAGTCTGTTGTTTATTTTCAACAAGTGACGTTGAATTTTGTTCATTTTACCGTATACTTCACAAAATTACAAATGAAAAAAACACCCAATTCCAAAAATTGAGAAGGTAATAACTAGGACGAATGGAAAACATCGATTGTTATGCTCCTTTATTTATTGAAACTTTAGATAATGAAAGTATTGACAGTCACTATGACATAACCCTGAAATTGACCAAATGACCAACAATATATTGCACTGTGTGGAATGAATGAAGAATGATTTTCAGATCGGAATGAATCGTATTTTCTAGGACTCTCTAAAATGCCATTTTTTTTAAATGCAGTTTTGCTCATCAATTTCTCAATTTTCTCCCCCCCTAATAATATTTGAGGAATGATGAAATCCTCAAACATTACAACATGACTTTTCAAGAAATTATTAGTAACTTTTAAACAAAAAAAAACCTTTTCTTTCATCTCCCTCTCTTCCTCTCTCTCAAATAACAAGTTTTGTAATGATTCTATTTGACATCTTTAGAAGTATTTCATAAAAGCTTATTGACAGTTCTAGGTGAGTGCTCACGTGATAGAGTTGAAGTTTCACCACATTATGGTATACTTTCCAAGGTTATGAAATGTTTGTCTTCAAATCATATGATGAACCCATGTGATGATGCATTTAGCGCACTAATTAGCTGTCAAGAAAAAATGATCAAATCTGTTTAATGTCAATTGTTCCAACAATGTAATGATACACCCTGCCTCTCTCTCCTTCTAAGAGAGGGAAGAAGAGATCGAGGGAGAGAGAATAGGGTGATTGAAAAGTGAATTGCTCCTAATTTCTTTGTTTCTATCAAACGCTCGTGAAACATTTCTTCAGCATTCAATAAGAGTTCCTCGGGAAATTGGAGATAATTATGTATATTGGTCGTAAGTGCATAGGGACGCAGCCCCGATCATCTATTCAAGGTCAATGTTTAATTCCAATCTAGAAAATGATGATTCAAATTAATTAATTTTCAGACTCAAGTCATAGACAATCTGCCGAATGCTGATTTCAACAAAATTTTCGCCACTTCTGATATGCACCTGTCTATCATATAATACAAGACCAAATCCAAAAGCATTTTCTTCGAATCATTAACTAAGAATTCCTCTATTAATTTCATATTAATCATCTCATAATATGAATAAAAAGTACATGCAGAAGCTAAGGGTGAAAAGTAGATTCTCTCAAAATTTCTCTGATCGATACTATGTGATTCTCATTGATAGCCATTATGATTTATTCATTCGAAGCAGGAACAAGCAATTTTAAGTTACGAACAACTTGGATTATGTGTTATATATTACTTCAGTAAGCAAGTTATGGATTCGTTTCATCAATAATCAATTATTTTGCAAAACATCCTGATTTCAAACCTTCATAAATTTAAATCCCGCAGTATATATTTTATTTGAAGTAATAACCAGATCAGAATTTACAACAAAAAGCAAACAATGTTCTTTATGATCAAAAACAAAAAAACAATAATACAACTAGGAAAATGTTAAAACCTAAAAAATTACCATAACGTAAAATCAAAATATAAAACATAAACTGCACCGCAAATTTTGTAACTAAAAGATTAGCAACTCCAAAAGTAATAAATAATTACTTTCTAGTCAAGAATGCATCTGAGAGTTTTTTTCCAGCTGTCATTAAACTACATCTAGTAAGGGAGAAACCAATTACTACAGGTCACTCGCTAAACATGTGTTTCAAAAAAGGCATGTAATTTAAAATAAAACATGGTCAGCCTATAAGAACATTGGCTTAATAAAATTAGTGCAAATAATAAATCATGTACCATGAATAAAAGCCATGAAATGAGCTAATGCAAACAGGCAAATCATGCCAGCACTGAGGTGTGTCCCGATTTCAGGTCTTCTTCATAAATTGTATTGACATATAAAATGCTAAACTAATGAAAAATTCTAGTTTTGCACTTGGTGGCCTAAGGATAAAATGGAAAAAGTGATTGAATGGTAATGTGGAATGTCCTCCCGAGAAAAAACATATCATGTCGACAAGTTTCCCTCCAATTTTAATCTATATCCAGAAAGAAGTAATTTCCACTCTTTTTTTGCTCAATATCTTTCACAGAATCCTTTTTGTTGATACGTGGCCGATAATTATCTTTATCACGTCGAAATGTAATATCCAAAAGCCTCAAAAAGCGGTTCATTCCTACCAAAAGCGATTGAGGTCTGAAAAAATTCAAAATTTCCGATAAAATTAATAAAAACGTAGTTTTTCTTGAAAAATTAGAAAAAAAGGATGCTTTAAAAACTAACGACTGTGCGGTAGCAGATTTTGATGGTGTCCCTTCGAAAACTATCACACGATCAGCAAGATATGTCCCCATCAAAAAATCATGCTCAACAATGAACGCCGTTTTCTTCGCATGTAATATGAACCTGTTGTTGAGCAAAATCAAAATGAAATAGAGCAGTTGACATATATCAGTAACTTAATATCAGTAACCAAATTTAATCATATCTGACATCCTTACGGTTCTACTGCATTTAAGGATAACTCATCTATGATCACAGTGAGAATAAAAAAAAAGAAAAACTTCGTGTGACTCCTATACTGAAACTGAAATAAAAGTTTGAATTTCCAATTATACAACTTATCAGATGATAACCCATAGAGGTAATGCAGTCGAATCATATTTAATCACATTATTGTGAATAACGCTTTCCTCGAAGTTCCATAATATATAATTTTTTTATTTTTTGCAAATCATAAACAATGGCAATAGCAATCGTAGTAATTATAATAATCAATAATTACTATGGTGTTACAAAAATCCATTAGAAATACCTCTTTATAACTTTGGCAGAATGTAGTCGCTGTTCTGAATCAAGATATGCACTTGGTTCATCGATAAGATAAACATCAGCCACTTTTCCGAGACATAAAGCTAGTGCAACTCGTTGCAATTCACCACCGGATAAATGTTGCACCTGTAAAAGAAAAAAACTTTATTTAAATCAAATTTTCAGACGAATTAAACACACGTTATTTCCAATAGCATTAGAAAAAAAAATAAAAAGGTATGTACAAAAGTAAAAGCACAATATTTGGTCTACATCTTTTTCCAAGTACTATAGCGACGTTTATTCTGCTATTAGGGTACTTGAGCAAAACATTAACAGCATTATCTACAAGAAATCATCCGCCGTCGAACGATCAATAATGCCAACTAAGGCTGTTGATTCAAAATTTAGCAGAAATAATTCTGAGTAGGCAAAATTGTGTAAGGTTCAAAGTAGAAACGATTAATACGAGACTTTACTTCAAGGTTGAGCAAATCATCGATCATTAATGGTGACAAAACATCCGTCTTAAATTGTGCATGGTTAATCATATCAGGTATTTTTTCATATAAAAGATGTCGCACAGAACACTGTGATTTTGGACTAATCTTTTGAGGTTTGTAAGATATGTTCAGCCGTGGAATCTCCGTTAAATCATCGTCCACTTGCAGATTGCCAGCAAGAATCCTAAAGTGTTTTTTTAAATCATCATGCATTATTTTTTTCAACCTAAAATCTGAAATTCAAGAACAAAACTTTCGGTGAATGTATATCAGACAGGAATGATTTATCAAACCACAAAGAAAATCTACTTTCCGGAAGAGATACTTCCTCGATATCCACTAAAAAGTTTCCAGTGTTTTGAAAAGTTTTCTTACCGCAAGATACTGGACTTAAGTGTCACTAGTGTAAACTAAGTTTTTTTTGAAGAGTGCACATGCTCAAAAGATCTTTAAATGGATCACAAAAAGCCAGGGAGTTGAATCTTTCCCATTTAAAAATGCCGACCTCAGCTTCATTCCCAAAACAAAACAGACCTAATCATTGTTGTTTTTCCAGTACCATTTTCTCCAAGCATGACAATTATTTCAGAATCAGTAAATTCACCACCTTCAACTTTTAATTCAAAGTTTCCTATATGTTTAACAAATGACGGATAAGTATAACGAGCTGTCCGTTTAACCATTTCTTTCTCCGCTTGATCGGTGACTTTGAAGGATAACTCAGAATCTCTGCAATATATATGTGTTCAAATTGAAAAATACAAAGATGCATGTATTCTAGATTTTCTTTTTAATTCCAAGTAAATCACAGCCAGCTTCCAGAAAATTGGACATTATACCTGAAGCGCATATTTTCAGTTGGAATGAAGCCATCCAAAAATATATTAATGCCTTCCCTAACACCGGACGGCAGTGTTACAACGCCGTAAACCCCTGGCATACCATACAGACAGCACACATAATCAGAGAGATAATCCAATACAGCCAAATCATGTTCTACAACAATGACATAACTGAAAAAAAGACAATTAGCCTGAAGAAATTTTAAAATCCCATAAAGATCTATTAATCAGTTTTAAAATAAAAATTCGAAATTGGGTTTTTAAACATGTTAAAGAAGGAACTCACTTATGGGGTGTTACTAGATCTCGAATAATTTTAGCTGCTTTCAAACGCTGTTTTACATCCAAATAACTGGAGGGCTCATCGAACATGTAAACATCAGCATGTTGCACAACACACATCGCTATTGCAAAACGCTGCAATTCTCCGCCGGATAATTGATCAAGCATTCGGTCTCTGACACCATTAAGCTCTGAAAAACGTACTGATTAATGAAATTTGAAGGGATTTCATTTCAAAAAAACACAAGAACAAAAAATTCTTTATTTAACATTGATGTTTGGAATAAGTTAGTAAACGAATTTTAACAAAATTTTCAAAAGGTGGACGAAGAATATACCTAATTCTTCGTAAACTTGTAATAAGTTTTCCCGGTCGCATTTTTTTGCCAATAATTCTTGCACTTGCCCTTTCGCTGCTCTGAAAATTTAGAGTAACACTAAACATATCAGAAAGGATTTCTTTCGTTCTCCATGCAGAAGCTAATTTGATTTTTTTTGAAAAATCGTTAAAATTTCTCGGATATTATAAAGTCTCCGTTTTTTAATTATCATTTGTCCGTAATAGCTATGTTCACAACCATCCAATAATAAAGAATGATGGAGCATGACCAATAAAATCCGAAAATAACAAATTGTACATTCCATATTTTCTTATGTCCTTAAGGGAAAACAATAGTTCTTCCAAGATCAAAAAACTAAATTACGATGATGCAGTTGCTACGTAGACATATGCATCTCAGTAACAGTGTCATCGTCATTAGAGAAAAAAATTGGTAAGAAAATCACATACTTCGGAATTTGATCAACATATTGTGGCTTTGCAACGGCCTTTAAATTGTCTTCCAATATTTTCGTGAAATAATTTTGTAGCTCCGAACCACGAAAATAAGCCAAGATTGATGGCCAATCAGGAGGAGACTGCAACAGCCCATAGCTTCATTAAATTATCTAATTTAGAATCCAGGAAAACGTATAACCAAAACTAAAAATTGATGTAGATATATGACAAAATGAATTCCATATGAACATTGTATCTCTGAAACGAGAAATTTTGAAATAAGTACATTTGTAAAAGCGTTTTTCTATTACTAACTTCAAATTTTCCAAGATTGGGCTTTAATTTCCCAGCAAGAATTTTTAGTGCTGTCGATTTTCCAATTCCATTTGTGCCAACAAGACCCAGCACCTAAAAAATTACACTTAAAGCTTTTTTGCATTGAAATATCTTTCGGATAAAAACTATAGAACACCATTATATATTTTTTTAGGGATATACATTTATGAGCAACCTCGTGTTATATTTGCTTGACATTTGAATGTTTTGACATTTCCAAAAATTATGGAAATGTCTCTTTATGTATGCTTGTGTCAAAGCTAAGCTAATATTAATCGGTTAATACCAAAGTTTTGAAATAGAAGAAACTGTTACGAAGATTTAAAAAAGAAACTTCTCCAGTACGTGGCGTCGGTAATCGATGCAACTTGAAGGAGTTTTTACTAAATCGATGAGTTGTATCTCTGGCCAAATTGCTAGGCAAATTTATAATTTTTATTGCCTCATAAGGACATTTCTGCAAAAAAAATGGAAAAATTAGAGGCAGGAAAATAACTTGAAGAGTGAAACCAGCATTGGACACTGCATATGGTACAGAGATAACGATGGTTAGGTAGTAATGGAGAGCACGCTGAAACTTAAAATTCACAATAATAACTGCTGATATAGAGCGGAATTCATTTCTAAAATAAAATATAAAAGTGGGGGTCTAAATCACCAACACCTCGACCTACAGGATCTTTAAATGAAACGATTTAATAACATTTCTTCCGGAAAAGTCCACATTTACTACGAGTTATGTTACAACAGCTGAAACGATGCACTGATCGCTGATTTGGAACAGTCTGACGATCTGTACTATTACAAGCTAAAAATTTTTCAATGTAGAATGGTAAAAACAAGACAAAAATAAGCTCAAAAATCGGTCCATTCTGAATTATCTCAGTTGCCAACACAATCGATAAATTATTGATATATCATATGCCAGTATTACTAAATAATTTTACAGCGCATATGATTATCAATATTTGTTACGATACAAATCATTCTATTGTCATGAATAAAAAAGTTGCACTACAAAGAAACTATATTGATTAATGACACCCGATCACCAACATGCATCTAGAATTCATTAATCATTTATGCAGTGAACATGAACTTTGGATAAATCGAAGTTCCAAACTCAAAACTTCAAAAACAGCTCTTCAAAGGACATACCTTCACACAGATACCGCACCCAATGCATAAAGTTTCAGATATTTCAGCTATTTTCGAATTCGTTTCAACGACGATGCACTGCTTCCCTGCACATTTATATACATTTATTATACTTAAAATGATTTATGAAGCTAAATTAAGACAGATTCATGATTTCATCCATGCCAGCCGGAATTTAAATAACAAATTGGACCTTTAACGGCAGCTTCATGATCTGACAACTAACTTATCTAACAATCAGGAAGCTGCAAAACAAAATGAAAACCTAGGCTGCAAACTCTAAAACCTATTCTGTTCAAATTATCGTAAACAAAAAAGTACCCATTCGTACAACTGGGCACGATTTCTTGCATGCAAGACCACAATTTTTCGGTTTACAACGATCCTTTTCGACGATAGCAATACGTGTCATCTTATTCGTTTCCTCCTGCTGCTTCCGTAAACGATTCATTTTGTTTTAATATGATATCGTTATCGGGAAAGAAATCTGAACTGCCGCAAATAAATCTTAGTTGATTACAATAAGAAAAAAATATTTGCCATCCTTTCCCTTAATTTTATTACTCATAATCTACGCAAAACAAATAACCATGTGTTAAGATTTAAAAAACGATCAAAAACCATACATATTTCTCAGATATCAGAATGGCCAGACTCCAGCCTTACCATTTAAAAATAATCCAAAAATAATTTGGGCAGTAATATTTTTTTCCTAAGATCCCATCACTACCGAAAAAAATGCTCTTAAAATCTTTCCAGTTACCAATAGAGAATGTTATTCCGTCCACTTCCGATTTCGAGTCTCATAATCCATTCAAATCTCTCATATTTTAATGCAACAAACTTTCAGTTTTTGATCGGATATATATGAAGCAGTGGTATCACACCGTCAACAGAAAATAGTCATCCCGAAAATTTATAACATCATAGAAAAAATTAATACACCTAATCGAAAATGATTTTAATTATTAATTGGAATTATTCGAACACAATTGCTTGCAGCATGTCAACAATATGAAAGATAATTAATTATCTTGCTATGAGCTCGATAACAGTAAAACTAATCTTAATCAAAATCGCGAAAATCGATTAAATTCTAAAGATTTTTTCTAAGTCAAAAGTTTCCAAAACAAAACAAATAAACAAGCAGGGCATATAAGGGAATAAAAAAACCTAGTGAGTACAAAACTATAAAGCAAATCCGACTATACATAATCATTATGAAAAGATTTAAAAAGAAAAAACCAGCAACATATACGACGAGGCAAAAAACAACAAAAGATGAATAAAGTGGACAATTCAGCTGCCTCCTTTGTCCTTCTTCTTTCAATACCCCGAAGCAAGTAAGAAAGAAACAAATTCCGGACGAGACCTCCGAAATATATATAAGAGGAAAAAATAATAAAGTACCAGTATTTGTTATTTCTTAAAAATAACAGGGAGAAAAACAGTACCATCAAGACAAATCAAAAAAATTCAGATCACTCTGCAGCTCCATAAGTGACACGAGATTTTTGTTTCATCGAAAAGGCAACATAAAACTTTTTATTGTATTCAACGGCCAACTCCAGCATCACTTCCACAAACGAATCTCTGGAATGACCAACAGAGAGCAATGCATCTCTGATCTTATTAAGAGTAGTCTGAAAAAAAGCTTTTTAAACAACTGCTCACGAATTTTTATGATAGAGATAAATATTAAAATTGGAAAAGCTATTAAGATTAGAGAATTCTGAGGGGAAGTTATGAACTTCTGCATTTTGTACATTCAGAATAAACTCAATTCACTTTAGTTCGTGCCATACTGAGTAGAATGCGGAAATGATGCTATAAATCATCCTAATGTGCACAAAAATATTGTATATACTGAACATCAAGCAAAAACTGGAATTCTATTCTACACATTTCCTCTAACGAAAAACCATTCAAAATAACGTACTGCAAAACTGTTAATTAGACCCCAAACTCTATTTTCACTAATTCCGTTATCTCGTTCCAATGCTTTTTTTGACTCTAGACGCCAAAAATCAACTGCATACGCATTCAAGTATATCTGAAACGTCATATGTTTGTGAATTTCTATAAATTAAAACTGATAAAATGTCTAAGTCGATTTTTTATAGAGAAAGAGGAGTAAGTAATTTTAAAAATTAAACGGATTAATTTTAAAAATGCATTTTAATGCAAATAAACCTAAATCAAGTAAACCAATCTTTTCCGAATCAAGTTCGCATAGAAAGAAATTATATTCCCAAGAATGATGAATAATTACGTGTTTGTTCAATAGATATTATTCAGTGCAATTCAAGCATTTTTCAATACAACTGACGGTTTTGTTACTAAACTTAAAATCTATGTTCTTCATTAGATTCATTAGGTTTAATTAGATTAATAATAAGATTTAGATTCATTAATAAGATTTTCATAAATAAAGCTAAAAGAAGAAAAGTAACTTACTTTTCGACCACGATGATCAACTGGACTTGGCGATCGAGCTGGCATAAATGCTTCGTCAAAAAGCAAATAATCATGGAATGGATGAACAATATTCGATGAAAACATTGAAACTGATGAATCGGCATAACCTGTTAGAGAGAATACCTCACCCTAAATCGATTCAATTTATAAGTTGTGTCGAGAAAAAAAAAAGTTGGGATAATTTTTTAAATAATGGATTCCTGAAAAAAGTTATCTTAGGATATTCCGCAGTATTTCGAAATACCTATATCTAATGAACCGTTACTTCTAAAATAGTTGTAGAATATCAATATGTATGTAGTGCAATTTTTATAGCATCAATATGTAATGCAATTTCTGCAATAATCTTTATAATTTACATAATCTTGTCGCAGTTTGAAATGATTACCTGAAGAGTTTTGTTAGGACCAGCCAATCGCATGAATCCTCGATATAAATTTTCCACCTTGTTAGCATACTGTTTAATCAGACAAGCACAATTGTCAGGCAAAGGCTTCAGGAAAATCTGCAAAATTTCAAGCAAGTCTCTCGTTTAAATGAAAAGGAATAGTAACTTCAGATAGCTAAGTAATTAATTTTAATCACTAATGTCTTTCCAGTGTTTACTATGTTCAGTGGAATTTATTAAATAATTGCACACCAAACACAGCCAGACCATTTTTTCATCACAGTTATTATCTCTCATAAAATTTTTAATATTTCGAAAGTTTAAGCTGGCTCCCGACTGAAAAAGTTCACAAATGATTGTTTCGTCTCTTTCCATTTATTAGCGATAATGTAACTGATTTGTAAGCTTGCCAACACCTGCTACGTATAGCAAAATATAGTAAAATATAAATTAGGACTCTAACCTAGCAAATATATTAAGAAAATTATATAAAATATAAGCGAACCTCTGATTCACCTGTTGATGGATAAGAATTCTTGTCGTCCGGGTTCCAACTCAATGGCAAACGCAAATTGGTGAATAGATGTGCAAAAATAAGCACCAACTGACTTTTTACTTCCTCTCTCGATATCGTTTTATTTTCGCACAACTTGTGGAATACACCATTCTGCAGAAGATGTGCGAAAAGAAGGTTACCCGGTTCGTTGGCTGATAAATGGCATACCAGAGAAGCCAGGCCGCTCAATTCACCCTGAATGAATATCTACATGTCAAAACATTGCGTTTGAACAAAGCACGATAACTTCAAAGGTGAGATGAGGATACAACTCTATAGCCACTTCAAAATTGTAGGTGGAATAATTCCAAGTTTGTACAACCATTTCAAGTTCGTTGTCTCATTATTCAGCTTAATACCATCGTGATGAAAGTTCAAAATAGAATTTCGAGAATGATGAAATGAAAAAAAAGAACGAGAAAAATAACAAACCTTCTGGTTCAATAAATTCAGGGAACGCAAGACTTGAACAGCAAACAGTGTGTACAGTCTTAGCTGCTTCTGCACTGTTGATGACAATTCGGCACGTGTATGCAGAATAAAGGAATTTGTCAAAAACGACAAAGCGGTCTAAAGAAGTAAGTGCTAAAGGTATGCAAAACCTAGATATTAAAATAAGCAATGCGATGCTGCTTCTTTATTTTCTTTTGTCTTTGAAATGTAAATAAAAGAATGCTTCACAGTTTCACTCGTGTATCTCAAAGCGCAGCAATGTAAAACAACGCCCAGCACTTCAAGCTATATCATCCTTCACTAGAGGATTTTCAAAATCATGAATATGTTTTCGATTGTGGAAAGAGTGAAAGATAATAGCACGAAATTAATAAGCTTACGCGTAATCGTAGTTCAAACGGTGAAATCTTTTGATTTCCAGAACGAAGTTCATCTAAAAGGCAATGAAAGAAATTCACACATAATCTGACGAAAATTAGGCAGGATATGCAATTCCTTCTAAATTTGTGACCTACAAGGCGAACTCTTAAATGAAATGAAGTCCTTCTAAGAGATTATAGACACTAGGTACATGTTTGTTAAGGAGGTGACATAAATGTCCTCAAAGTTATTACATAACAAAGTTATTATATACATTATTATATGCAACTTACTCAAAACACTGTCTTCTTGGTGTATGTAGCCGAAAAGACGTAGAATATATGATGTAGTAAACGGTAAATTTCCACGTAAAGTCGACAGACTCGCTGTTAATAAGCGGCGTATCTAAAATACACAATTTATAAAATCATATTCTCACTTCTCTTCTTTTTTAATTCTTTCAGTGAAACGTTGACACAATTTTTAGAAATTATTATATAATTTATATTTATTATTATTAACAAACCTTAGCAGTTGGTATAGACATGAAAATGACTGAGCCTGAATGATCAAAACCGCGACGGCCTGCACGGCCAGACATTTGCCGGAACTGCAAAGGTGTCAGATTTGGATCATCAACTCCAAAGAGAACCGTCTTACATGGCATGTTAATACCAAGCGCTAGTGTTGAAGTCGAAAATAAGACTGCCAGATAACCAGATCTACAGAAAATAATTGCGTTAAAAACTTTGACTTGAAAAGTATTTTATTTTTCAGTTCGAATAGAAAGAATTTATTTCTTGTAAGATAAAATCGAAATCTGTGAAGCAGCAATCACTTACTGATTTTCAAATTAAGAATGATCAAATCATTAAACTATTTATCAATTTATTGATTAGGTTACCAAGAATAACCTGAATAAGATTTCGACAGCACCACGTTCTTTAGAATTCAAACCAGGATGATGGAAGCCAATACCGCGTTCAAAAAGCTTGAACAATAATTTTGTTGTTTCTCGTCCAGATAATCGGTCCTTCGCCAATCTTTCAGTCACTTTTTGGTACAAATCTGCATCACATTGCCGCCCATGTAATTTGAACCTAAATAAGCCCGAAGAGCAAAACAAGTTTTTTTTGAAATAATACTGATACATCCACGAATACTAACATCATGAATAATCATAGTTCTATTAAAACTCTTCGAATAACTTTCTAAAAATTCCCGCTAAATCTTCGCATTCAAAGTATTCTGAGCTGCTGAGGGTTCAGATACCCTTTAGTTTCGTTTATTTTACACTAACCACGTCTTGAATACAAACCATCTCTTTATGATAGTAGTTGAAGTTTCTAAATTATTCATCCCACCGAGTACCACTAATCAATATATTTGTACCTATTGCAAGGTATGTGCAAGCATTAATTTATTTCTGTCAGAAGATTATCTATAATGAGCACCATCAATCAAATAAAAATGCTTAAAGATAAAGAGAGAGAAAAAGTTACCTTTCCAAAACCATATTCAAACGTAGTCTCATCGCTGCAAACGGATCGTAATCATCAGTATCCTGCACGTTATATTCTTGCTCTTCTACTTCAGCTCTTTCAAACTTATCTGCAGCTTTAGATTTTTTTTTCTCTTTTGTCGTTGCAACATCGCGCTTCCTTTTCACCATTTTCGCTATTTTCTAAAATTCAAACGTTTTCAAATTTTTTGCATTCACAATTTAAAAGTACAAACAAGCTGCTGATTTCTGTGCAAAACACTGACCATTTTATGCACATAGCAATTCTACAAAATATTTCGACATCCAAAAGCTCGTTTACCTCTTCATCTTTTATTTCATATTTTTTGTATTCCGAACTGGCTTCGAACTCCTTCTGCTGCATTTCAAGATAATCGAACAGCTGCTGAGCCAGTCTCTCGCACACCCGACGATCTTCATTAAAACAAATTGCCGGAAGTAATTCCTTATCACGCAGTTCCAAAATCAGTGGGGCAATGTTTTTCATCGCTGCTGCTCGCTAGAAAAACAGTACTAGAAAAAGAGATAAATGTAAAAACTAAATTTTAACTTGAATGATACTGTTTCTTATTCCTTATTTAATCCATCTTAGTAAAGTGAATTTTGTTCTTGAAATACAATCTTCCCATTGAATTCAATATGAGATGAAAAACATAAACAATCTTCTCAAGTATACAGATATACGTGTCTTCCCGTCTGCATCATCAGCACTGCTGGATTATTTCTTACGGTGTGTCTCTCAATACCATATCAATACGCAGTAAACCTGGTATACTTATCTCGAAAGAGACCTACGAAATGCAACATCAGACAGATCAAATAAATTCATCTCCAATATATGAACTTTTCAAGTCAAACCTGATCAAATGGTTTACTCCTGAAGTCTAATTCATTTTGGACATTTTTACCAATTTGATGCAAAACTTCATTGGCTCTTTCTGGATTTATTTCAAGCCATTCCAAAAAACGATTTTTTAGAGCAACCTCCAGACGTCTGATATCTTCACGTGTAAGCCAAATCCTTTCGCCTCCAGGTTTGTAATTGAAAAATGAGCACGGTTCAAATTCTTTCCTAAAAAAGTTTCAAATTTCTTCAAATTATTCTCTAAAAAAAAGAATCTGTTTACAGAGATTTTTTTTTGGATTTAATCGCGAAGAAAGAAAATTTTATAACGATTAAAATTAGCACCGAATGTGGATCACCTGAGAAAAGAAGAAATGAGACGAAAACTTACTTGACTATTGGATCTACTTCGGCAAGAGCATGATATAGATCAAGAATTTGCCTCGCAGTTAACTGCTGATCACCGGGAATGCCAAACATAGACAATTTCACCGGTTTGTATACCCCGTATGGCATAAAGTACTCAATCATCGAGTTCACAGCATTTTCGTTTCCACTTGCTGTATCAGTCGCCGGATTAATCCGCTGCACAGCAAGTTCCAGTTCCGAGTATCTTTCACCATACGTTATTAGTTCAACCTAAAATCATAAGAGCGATCTGCGTGAAATCTCGATGCAGAACCATGGGTATTGCAAAGAATATCGAAATAACAATAAAACTTCAAACGTCCATAGTAACATAAACTCGAAGTTTTGACAATGAATAAATTTTTACAAACCATAACAAAAAGCAAACTTCTCTCAAAGGTGTCCCTCGCATATTTTTACTTTTCTCGGCGGACTGCAACCATTGATGAAGTACTGTTGCGTTACCGATAGTAGCTGAAAGGGCAAGGAAGGGGCATCTGATGAGAAGCAAAAGATGTTCCCAAATGTGAGCGTCTGGGGAAGCACTAATGCAGTGGACCTGCAAAGTCATTTAAAGATATTTAACCTCGATGTTTTATTATACCGCCAGTTACCGTCCATTCCTTATCATTCTTCTTCATTACTGTGATGTATAAGGCAAAGTTTAAACAAAATTTAGAAAATTCAAATTTGAACATGATTTTTGATCGTAACAACGAAAAATTCTGACGCAAAAGCTAGAAAATCATTTACTTCATCAAATATGACGTATTTAATTTTATCGATCAATGTCTGTACGACTGGATTCGTTGACAAAAGCAAATTTTCAAGACACTCCGGAATGGTGATGAGTACCTAAAATTCATCATTATTAAATTCAGTGAACTTGCAGGTTCAATTTGATAATGCAGACGCAAACAAACGATAACAACCAAATCGAAAATTTGAATCCAACACATCCCAATAAGGTCTATGTTACCTTTTGCAATTCTGCTAAAGACCTGCAAAACAAAGCGAACCAATGGTTAGTGACCATTCAAAATAATAGAACCAACACGATTACCTGACAATTCATTGGATTCTCGAAGTGTTCCAATAGAAGAATCCCAAAAAGCGACTTTCCACCACTTAAAGTTTTGTTACGAAAACGAGCGTACACTGAACCACAAACCTATAATTGTTAACAGAATAAAATTGGAAAAAATCAGTGGGGACAATTCTCAATAAATACGCAGGCAATAAATTACAATTTAACTGAAGTTTATGACAAATACCTGATTTAAAAGTGCCTTGGAGGGCGAAACGTAGACAACCATGTCATCATCACTTTGCCGCAATACACGTTCTATACAGTAATACGACACAAAAGTTTTACCCGCAGAAGTTGGAGCAATTATAACAGCCGAGTGATCTAAAATGTTTAAAATTACAGTGTGAATCTCATTCAGACTCTAAGAACGAACTTGCAATCCTTAGTTTTCTAACCTAGTGTATTTTTTCAATAAGTGTGATGTGAATATGTTGTTGAGTTAAACAACTAACTCATCCTTTAATTCCCATTGCTCATTACTAAAAATTTTAATTTGTAATTATATTAAAAGGCTTAGAAATGGAACTTGCTTTTATCCACCGCGTCCAACATTCGTCTCTGCCACGCATCTGGTTGGAAACCAGTTACGCGATCATCCTTCTGCGGATCTGAACGAATATCGACAATTTCACCACCATAAGCCAACTGATAATACAGCATATTCATATTCAACGTTAACCTCCCTTCAGAAAAAGCAGTTGGCTTCTTGCTTTTTTCAAAACCGAGAGAAACCCATAAATCGGTGACCTAAAAAATATGATTACTACGGTTCTCAAACTGATCTGAAAGATAAAATCTGACTTTAATTCTTATCAGAGCAATAGAAGGATAACAAGAAAATGTAGTGTCAAGCGACAGCATGCCTGCCCCAAAAGTTCCATAAAAGTAAAAGAGAAGAAAAATTAGCAAGCTGACTATCTCTGGCCATGATTCAGAAAAATTGATTAAATGTTTCTTAATCAGTGCTAGTAAAACTATTTAAGAATACAATATATTTAAGAAAAATAAATAGAGGAAACAGTCACCATATTGTCATACTTGCCTTAGCTAAAGGCCAAACATTCAGAAAAAGCACATACATATTCCTTTTGCTTATCATCCAAATGCTCCCAATACACAGTAAACAGATCCTTCAATTTACTGATTATAGGAACCGCCCGAATCCTTCTCTTCTCCACAAAATCTTGTCCCTCCAAACAATTGAAATCATTTGACATATTTACCAATTGCTGGTAAGCACACATGGCTCTAGATGAGACCAGTTCGAGCTTGTTCATCAAATTTTCCAAAATAAACATCGCCTAAAAAGACCAAATTCTTTGCAATTCTTCAATCTGCTCAATTGAAATGGTGCAGAAATTGCACAGTAATTTCGTCATAGTTAAAGAAACTTAACCATAACCAAGTACCTATCTATTACAAATAGAGTGATATCCCATTTCTACATGCATTATTTTGAGACTGTATTACGATAAAGCACATTCTTGCATAGTTACATCGAATTTCGGCATTGGAACGTGAAAATATGCAGGTACTTATCAATCATCCTACCCACTTCTCTAAGTATAACAGTTCTTCACTGCTGTATCATTCCTACCTATTACTAAACTTACATTCTTCCCTTGCTGCCTTGCAAATCGAACCATTTGTTTTTCATCTTCCGCAAGTTTTTCATTCTTTTTATTTCGATTAGCTTCCAGAATTAATTCTTTCTTTGATTTAACAGCTCCTTTGCCTTTTGGGCCTGAAAAAGTTTCCATAAAACTGATAGCATATAATCGGACTCCATACTTCTAAACCCTAGACAAGCAGTGGAAGTTATTTGTTATAAGCAAAAATGCAAAGAGTATCTAGCTAACGTACAATATTCATTAACCTTATTTCACTTGGATTTCTTCTGTGATTTATAGACAAAATGTTACTGTAATAGCTAAACAATATGAAACAACGAAGACGATATAAAATTCATATTTAAAAAGCAAGATCTCAGAGAAAAACAAAACTTTGGTAAGCATGAACAGAACGAATTTTTTGATCATAAATTTTGTGTCTTAGCAGTTGGATGGATAACAAAACATGAGAATCTAAAAACGATATTTCCATACCATTTCCTTTGCCTTTTGGTTGCCACTGCTGTTTCTCTTTCTTTTTATCAGTTTGCTCGTCAACTTTTAAAACGAATCCACGTGGTGTACGTGAGAAATCAACTAGCAAACTAGTTCCACGTCCTTCGAGTGATTCTGCGAAGAATTCGTACCTGTAGTTATTTGTAGATCAAAACTAGTAAACGGCTAATGAAGCTCAGAAAATAAATAGTACAAAATAAGTAATGAAAGGAGCATTTTTCTAGAGGAAGTAATAATCACCATTTGCGAAGTTTTTGTCTATCTTTGTTTTGCTTTTTTATATGGTATGCATTTTCAAGTCGTTCCTCGGGTTTAGTATAAGGTTCTTCAATAGCGTCAAGACGCCATTTAGTACGCAGCCAAAATTCTTTGAATGTAGATGGCTCCTTCAACAAAGATTAATTAAGGAGAGCTATAAAAAGATGTCTAATAAAACAAATTAAGTAGTTAATTGAAGAACTCTCATATTCATATAAGGTAAAATTATGTGATTAAAACTTTTAGATAAAAACAGGGTGAAATAGTAAGAAAAACAGATTTAGAAACAAACAAAAAATTTCTTTAGCATGAAAAATTACTTCCGCCGTTTCCGTGTAATCATCCGCAATAGCGCTCAGCATTTCTGGAGCATACCGTTTCAGCAATACAGAATTGATGGAAAAAAGTGAGAGCCTTTTAAAACTCATTTCTTTTACAGCCAAATCAAATAAGGAATCATTTACGTCAACTTCAAGAGACAGCTCCAAACATGCGATTTTATGCAGAGGAGCTAATTCTTGTTGAAGACGATAAGGAAGAATCTGTAAAAAAATGTAAATAAAAATGAATTTTCAAATTTTGCAAGCTATTGCATCTTATCCAAAGACAGTTTGCAATTAGACAATCAACAAGTGAACTTAATAATAAATGGTTTATACTGGGCCTCCTCTAGTGTTCGCTATTCAGTTTCATACCAGTAAAAGACGCATTTCATATGTTTTTGGATAATACTAAAACAAAAAGAGAACAAAACGAACTTACTTTTACTCCTGAGTTTATAGCATCATATATTCCCGTTACCAAAAGACCGTCCCAAAGATCAACCAGTGAAAAGGATAATGAATGTTGCTGCAAAATTTACGCAATAAATTTGACAATCTTGTTGCAGCACATAACAAAAAAATTAAGAAAATAAGAGAATGGATCGAGAAGAGCATTAAACTTCATTCTACTTCACCTTTTGTTCATATGAACCATTGTGCTACTTTCTGCTTTAATATAAATCTGTAAAAAAAAATAACAAAAGCAACAAATTATACTTTTAAATCAAGTGTATCCAGTAAAGAAGCACAGGAACTAAGCAATATTCTTCGGAATTTGATAAAATCGATGCCTCTTTTCGAAGCCTTATTTTCCTCAAAATATCGACGTTCTGTTCCACGGCGTTCACAAATCAATGAAGAAATAAGCACAGCAGATGACAACGCGTCGGATTCTTTCGGTAGTCCACCACTACAACAACAAATCCCATTTTCATTATAACCAGTGATGTCATTTTAGGACTGTAATAGCTCTCAATAAGGCATTTTTCTGAGATAATTTACAGAAACATTAAATGGTAACTAATCATCCACAAAATAAGGTAACAACCTTTTCTTACAATCTCTAATGATTAGAGCCCATAGCTGTGAAACACTTTTGCAACTTGATAGGTCAATATTTCGCTGAACTTCTAAAAATATTTCCATAAAGAATGATGCAATAAAGAATTAAAATAAAAAATAGATTCTGTGATTATTGAATCTTCAAATTCAGTTTTACAATTATTTTAATTTTGTTAAGAAATTGATTGGAGAGAAAGCTGTTATCATTTATCAACAATTTAAAGCATTAAATATTTTACTCTAACCACTTTTTTTTTCAGTCCACAATTTGAATAAATAATCGGTCCATCCTTTGAAATCGACTATGTGCGGTTCAACACGATGGCTGTAAACTGAGCAGAGATTCACGACAAGACCATTGAAATAAACGACGGGAACAGTCGAAGCAAGTGCCTGAAGCGCTATCGAAGCGAGGAGCTGCTTGAAACCCAACCCAGTATCTGCAACCACATTTTCTGATACATCATCGACTCCAATCATCTGAAAAAAGTAGGTGAATAGTGCTGGTGCCATAAAGTGATCAAAAATATACAAGAATATATCTGTATTTCCAAACATAATCATAAATGTTCATGATTACATTCTCGTAGCAAAATACAATTAAGCTTATTTTTCAGTTTCTAATGCATACTGACTAAGAAAAAGCTACTGCATACCAAAAATGAAGGCATCAATTCGTGTAAATAAGACAACCAAAGCAAATCGCTAGGATTGATAAAATGCTCAATATCCACTGCCCATTGAGACTGAAGCAAGTAAGCTGCAACGAAACTATGCAAAAAGTTGAGCACTGTATCTTTGGCATAGATGGTAGACAAATCCGTAAACCAAATTAATTTGAATTTGCCACCAAGATTTGAAAGCTTTTTCAACAGGATCTCAATCTGAAAAAATAAAAGAACATGTTACATTTGGATTAAAAGAGTTTAGATATTTCTGTTGTTACTCGACTATTCCACTAGGGTAGAAAGCCGTATAGCGCGAAACCTATTTGATTTGATATTATATTAAAGTTTCAAGATAACCAACCGACCATGTTGGTAGTAGCAATCAGCCTAATTCGACTCCAGATTACTTAACTATCATACGAAGCAATATGCAATTTTATAAATTTTTACTTGTTTTGCAACAACGATAGTCTGTCCACCTAATGTCCAGTTTAAATAACTGTGTGCTGTAAGTTCGATTAATAATCCATCCAGCGATATTAAAAATATTTCTACATCAGCAAATTCGGAGATTATATTATCATATTTCGAATTGAAACGATTTAAGATCTATAAAATAAACCATTATTACATTTCTTTTATATAAATATACTCAAAAATAGAATAGCACGACACATTCATTCGTTTGCACTCAAGAGTCAATTTGAACAATTTCGTGATCACTTAGGTTTCGAAAGACCTACACGAATGGATTCTAGAAATTGCAGAAATTTAATGAATGGATAAGCTTTCAATGCAACTTACTTCAACTAAATTCACATCACCTATTGTGAAGTCATTAGTAATGACAATGTCACCAGCTTCCTCATTCTCATTCTCCGATTCGACATCGTTTTTGCTTGAAATTGATGTAGACATTCCATCTTCAATCTAAAAATAATGAAGGAATAGTAAATTGAAACAAAGTTAAAGAATTCCATTAGAGTATTTGATCATAATGTAATTTTAATTATAATTGCTATCAGGACCAAAAAACACTCACATCACTATCATTATCCTCTTTTGCAAAAACGATGTTTTGCTCCTCAAGACTGCTTGCTACTTTTGATGCGGCAATTTTTTTGATTGGGACAGAATTCGCTTCAACCAATTTTTCCAAATTGTCCCAATCGGACATCGCCTTCACAATGACCGCTTTCTTGTTTCTTGATTGATAATCGTTCAACTATATTGGAATCCAATATGGTAAATATACTGATGGACTAAAATACCGCTGAGTTCTTTTACAGGAATTATTGAGATGCACACCATTCTCCAATAGTAACAAAAGTGAGATGGTATTGAAAACATGTAAAAATATCGTTGTTCTATTAAGTCATACTACTTTTCCAGGTCTACAAAATCCGACTTCAAGAGATCCTCCTCCCACAACCGCTCCACACTTCGCGCTATCGACACAATGAAAGCGATATCGTAGCGGCATCGAGTCACTACCTAATCAACCTGCCTCTAACGGGCCAACTCGTTAAAAACCGTTACTGACTATGAAATGAATTGAATCCATTACACTACGCAGACGTCGATCATTTGAGTGGTGGGGTTTTTTTCTTTCTCAGAGCAGTTTTTTGCTTAATGTTCTTCTTCCTCGGAGTAATTTTTTGCTTGATGAAGTGTCACATTATTCAAGAATCGTTCAGGTTGATCGGAAAACTTTCCAGATTGACATTCGGATGTCACCACTTTCTTTGTTGTTTGCTGGTAAACTAAGCAACGTATGAAAAGACATAGCTGTTAGAATTTAAGAAGAAGGAAATATACCATACAGTATGTCCCGTCCAGAATTTACTGGTCCTCCGGAATTGGTTTGTTTTGGTTAAAATTTTGACCGAGCGATCCATTGAAATTTTTTGGGTAGCTTTTTTACGAGCAATCCATCGCAATGAGTTCGTTTCTGGTAAAAAGGCAAGTTTATTTTCAAAATTCAGGAGGCATTTTGAAAGTACTAACGAAAGCAAGTTTTATTATCGCCTTCTTGACCGAAACCTTTATTGACGGAAACTAATTATTCAACAAGTTAAAGCGTAATATTTATGTTACTCTTTGCTTTTTCAGTATTATAACGACATTCAAGCTGCCAAGTACTCACAGAAGTAAGTTTTATTATTGCCTTTTTGACCAAAGCTTTTATGCACATTGTTTAATTATATTTCATTCTGTATTTCTTAATCATATTTATCACCCCAATATCAAAGATCTTCAGTTCACATATTATCGATATTCAAACACGAATGACGGAACGAGCCATCGAATTGCTTGCTCTTCCGGATGATGGCACATCGAGGTTATTATTGGATATTGGATGTGGTTCCGGATTAAGTGGAGAAGTTATCACAGAAATGGGTCATAATTGGATTGGTGTAGATATTAGTGAAGCGATGTTAAGTGAGTTCTGAACGTATTTCATATGTCATATGAAGTATATCTTGTAAAGTGAGTGTCAAGCTGACAATTTTGGTACGGATGAATGAAATTGCCTGAGCGAAAGTTTTTGTGTCAATTCTAGATTTAGATGAACCAGAATTTCAATATCATTTATTATTCTGTAATTGGTAAGGAGCCTTAATTGAGGGAATTATTCATGTCTAGGCTGTTTGTGATATTAATCTGGGATATTTTATTAGTCACAGCGAATGCAAAGACTCTCGGGTCCATTCGTTGACATAAGTTATGAGATTCATCTGTTTGTTGCTGTATTTAAGCTTTGTTCTGGCATCATAACTTGCAGCTTTCATATGATTTTAGAAGTTGCCATAAATGATCGAGAAGTCGAAGGCGATGTTGTGTTGAAAGATATAGGTGATGGTTTACCTTTTCGGCCTGGTACATTTGATGGCGCAATAAGGTATGTAATGGCTAAGGATTTCGACGACATTTTGTTAAAATTAATTTGTTAACTTAGGATTCATTGCAAACTTAATCAATAGATACTTGAAACTTTTAATTAATTTTTTCAGTATATCTGCAATTCAATGGCTATGCCATGCAAACACCCGAGAGCAGAATCCACAGAAACGGCTACTTCAGTTTTTCCAATCATTATATGCTTGCATGGTAAAGATTTAATGGACCAATTCCCCCATCTATTTTCTGCTTTTTTCCGTTTCGTTTAATTCAAATACATGTGTTTCGTATATTAAACTATACTTATATAAAAAAATATACTTACTGCATCATTCGTATATTAAATAACATTTGGAAGGGATAAAGAACATTTCAGGGTCGCGGTACTCGTGCCGTATTCCAGTTTTATCCAGAAACTGTTAGCCAGACTGATCTTATAACAATACAGGCAAGAAAAGCAGGCTTTACTGGAGGCGTTGTCATTGATTTTCCTAACGCTGCCAAAGCCAAAAAGTACCTTTATATTAAATTTTCTGCCTTACATTTATTTATTATCAAAAAGTAACGTTTTGAAGTGCTCAAAAAAATTAGCATGTTGCTTCTAACTTGTCAATTCTTAATACATCCAATATTTCCTTTTTTTTTAAGAGTTTATTTGGTGCTGATGATTGGTGGTATGCAACAACTACCGAAAGCATTAATTGAGGAAGAAGTGAATCAGGTTTCGAGTATAGAAAGAAGGTAATTTGAAAACTTATTCCAAAATTTGCTTTATCAGATTTGGAGGCCGAATGGAGAACAGTGCTACATCTTTTTTGTTTAAGATCAAGGAAAAATGGCAAGCGAGACAAGCGAAAATTGCTGAAACGTTCGAGAGAATGGATAGAGGGTAAGAAGGATCGTGCCCGAAAGCATGGAAAGTATGTTTCTTATTATTTAAATCTTACGATTAATGGGTCTATAATTTCGTGCTTCTTCCTAGTTATTGCAAATCACTTAAATTCGAAAGCAGTGTTCGCAGATTTTTGATTTCAGAGACGTTTGCGTATCTTCGAAATATACAGGTCGTAAAAGGAGACGTTTCACATAAATTGTTCATCAATTTACTTTTACACGTTGTTATTGTTACTTCTTTTATTTTCTAAGCATGATAAAATAATTGAAATGTTTTTAATACATCTTATGAAATCCTCTATGTATATATATGAGTAGTGTTAGATTACAGCAAATGATTTATCAAATACCGTGACAATCATTAATTTTCAAGTACTGACTAAATAAGACTGTTTATTTTGAGTCTGAAATGAAACAAAATTTGAAACATTTTGGTAATTACAGTTCATGCCTTCTTATTTCAATCATAATTTATTTTTTTCAATCACTCCATTTATCATTTTAAATTCAAATAATAAATGAAGTGATTTAATGAATTTATTCCATAGTATTTGTGATCGTTTAACCGATTAATTAATGATCGATTGGTTTATTGATTTCTTGCATGCCATTGCTTAAGCGTAAGCCTTGAAGTATTGATCGAAGTAACCCTATAGGACGAATGTACATCTAACTCATTTCATTTGTAACATCCAATTTCAAGTTCATAAAGAATTTAAATTTCAACTTAATATCTTATCATATGGATCAGCCCAATTCTATGAAGTTTTGATAACATGAAGTTGCTAATACTCTGCGAGCATATTGTTCATCTTTGAATCCAATTCTATATCTTGCTGTACATAAACGACATCTTTCGAAAAGTAACCTAAATTACCAATTTCAATTGAATATACCGTAGATTTTATAATTTTTATTATTTCATACAAATATTTTGACATAATTTTTTGAACTTTAACCAAAAGTTAAACACTTTAATTTTTAGCAATTCAAAGTTTCTAACTAGACAGTCTAATGGAAATTTCTTTAAAAAACTATATATCGCCTTCATATTATTAATCTATAAGATTGTATTAATAGAATAAAATGAATTTAATATAAATTAGTGAAACTAAACAAATGGAAGAAAATCTGGGAGATTATTTCTTTTTTACTTTCTCTTTTTTTCTTTCGTTTGATTCATTTTATATAAAACAAAACTTTTGTCTTCTCTTCCGCTCATTTCTATGAAAGCAACCAAATATTTTAGTTATAAATATCTTCGGCTACAATGCTTTCTTAATGGTATATATAGAATTTTCAGCAGTATATTATTCTGCCATATTTTAAAATTACATAGTAAAGAGATAAGTAATTATATGTGAATAAAAATTAGTAAATAAACAATAAGCAAAGATGAACAAAATTTGATATGCAAAAAATTGAAAAAGAAATTTGAATCATTGTGATACATGAATTTGTCCATTGCAACCAATTCGAAGCAAAACATTAGGTACTGTTCTGAGTGTTAAATATGTGATAGAGATGATTTTTAAATTTTCATATTTATAACTGAAAGCCTTTCTATCGATAAATTTCTTTGAAGACTTTCCGTTTAGATCATCTCTGAACGAAGATTTTCAGGACATTCTGATCTCTGTCACTCGCTACAGCAAAAGGAAGGGTAAGAGAAATGAAAGAAATTATTGAACAAAAGTTAGTTTCCACTAGATAGTGGGTTCAATGATTTCAAAACATTAGGTACTGTTCTGAGTGTTAAATTCTGAGTGTCACATTGAAATTCAAAATTTAGTTGAGAAGGCATGTTGAGTACTGTACTTCTTGTGATCTTTATTATTGATTTTTTAAATTGAATTTTAAATCCCAATCAAATTCTTTTTTTAAGATTTTTAATACAAAAGTAAAATTTAAAATATTCAATGCTATGTACAAAATGCAAATGCAAGTTATAATTATTTGAATTCAAAAAAAATAAAATATTTTCAGCTATCGATATAATGGATTTGTTGATTGACGATTATATGTTTATATTTTAATTAATAATGTCATAAATAAAATTCAATTAAAGTGATATTTGAAAAATGAAAAAAAGAAAATTTTGTTAACCTCTATTGATAAGTCTATAATGATAATTTTGATGGGAAGAATGGTGTCGATAACTCGTGTGATATAATATATCAGTGTTAATGTGTGCTCTCTGATCATAACCTTATAAATGCAAAATTGAACTATTGCAATGAAGAGAATTAAAAGCAATTAATAACAAAATCATTGTAGTATCTTTGGATGGAAAATTTATTTGGAATCTGAAATAAATTTCGAAATTTAATATCATTTATAATTTCATTGCTTATAATTATGGTAAGTTTAAATTGTGTGTGTGTGTGTTTACTGTTAAGCCTATTGCTCAGAAATAATAAAATACTAAACAATTCAAATGAAATAAGACAAAAACAAAGAAATGAAAAAAAGCAATTTTGCTAAATATAAAAATTAATTTTTCTCTCATTCATAATACTAAATGTTTGTTAATTTTGAATGATTTAATTTATTCAAATTACCTGACCTCTAATGTTTTTTTTTTTATTTCGAATTTTTCAATTCCTCTTCCTATTCCTCTTTTGTAGATCGATCGATCGATGATTCACCATTACTTGTTTCCATGCCTAAGAATGCCTTCATCACCTTCTTTCTTCCTTCTTCCTTCCTGTACAAAATGCCTAAATATTGAAGAATCAACGGATTAACAACGTGTCTCATTATGAAGCGATCAAAAGGCATTAACAACAAAACAATATATTAAATTTCAAAAGTTATTGAAGTAATAAATGTTACCTTAAATTATGAAATAATTCAATAATAAATATACCTGAAATTTTTTCTTCAAAATGAAAGCATAAAATATATGTAACTTTAAAATATTTGAATAGTTCTAAATTAAAATTCAAATATATCAATGAGTAATCAATTAGAAAAGAATAACAACCATTTTATCATATCAATTAATTAACTTCTTTAGTGAAATTGTTTCTTTCCTATCTTAAAGAATTAACTTTTTCTGAATTGAAAATTTTCTTCTTTAAAATTTTCCCACAATTAAAAAAGAGCAACCTTATTTGATATAAAGCTTACTTATTTTCAACTTTCTGTTTACTTACTAAAATTCAAATTGAATTTTATCATTGAAAGAAAAAAATAAAATTTTATTCATTCTTTTGTTTCTGAAATTATTCATTTAATTATTTTAATTATTTGTTTATTTGTTGAAATTATTCATTCACTTTTTTTTCTAATGAATTTAATATATTCACTTACAAGTTATTCGATGCTTGGATGTTCATCTTGTTCTTCCTTAGAAGTTGCCAAACGTGATTGTCTATTGGCCATTAATGGGACGAATCACCATTAATCTTCACTTAATGGCATAAATACAAATGAAGTGTAAGCTAGTAAACTTTATTTCATTGTGATGTATGATCAGATGAATTTGATTTTCGTACATCCATATTATAACGAAGAATCTAATATGGAGCAAGTGTAATTGATGATCAATACTCCTACAATATATCGGAAAAAGAAAGCTAAAATTATTAATTGCTTTCACGAAAAAATATTACCTTTGAAGCTATGATACTAAATACTAAATGCCACTCTATACAGAACAATTATGATTTAATTGAAACGAACATGAAAAAAGGGGTACTTTTCTGGAGAGAAATTAAATATTTTGAATTTATACGATTTTCCGATTTTAATTGCTGTATTACTGTTATCTGGAATTTTTGCATACAACAATGCTTGTTCATTGGAACTGATTCTCTCAAATGATCTATCCAAATAAACAACAATCATAATATGGCAAATTATCGCTAGTGATTGAAACTCATTCATTTACAATCAGGTTGTTCATTGCATCAGTGTATAATATCCCGGTAATATGCACCGAAATGATTAATTTTGGAAATGTAAACATGCAGGGAAAATAAGAAAAATGTAAAACGTTTATAGCACCATGAATGAATTTCATCGATATTTCTATTATGCAAAAAAATTCCCAACGCTATATTGGTCTATCAGTTCAATCACTTCCCCATCCCTAGCTCCTTTGTTACTTTTTCAGTATAAGTAATTCAAATTAGATTTAAAACATTTATTATTGATTAGATTGAATTAACACTCTCGTCTTATTCTTTTTCTACCTTCCACGATTTCCATCCGCATTGTTTGTCTTCTCGTATTTATTTTTCAAAAATAACAAATAAATACGAAGCAGTTCTCCCTTTATATTCCATCCTTTAGGACAAGGAATTGTTTGCCAAGACAGAAGAAAATTATTATAAAACCAGTATAGAAACAATTTTTCATATTGGATATTTATCTACGTTTCACAAGACATCCGTTAAATAAACAGATCTCTTTAACTGTGCGGTTTTTCGCACATAAAGCATAGATTAATATCAATTGGTTGAAAGCAGACGACAAATACAGTGTCTTCTGAAGCACGATATTCAATTCTTTTTAATCAAATTTAAGCGCAACTTGGGAATTCTACAATAATGAATTGAAAATCACTAAACAAGTTAGTGAACAATATTCAACCTACCCTTTATTTAATCCAAAATAGGCTAAAGCCTACTTACTCTTACTGTCCGGCCTTAGTCTACTAGAAGCATGCATATTATTGCTCAGTAAAGGCTTGGAAGTAAGTATAAATTCATATTTACAAAAATAAATACCACATTCTCAATGTCCTCTACGTCTATTTTCAGCTCTTAAATGATAAAAATCCATAGCTGTCAACGAAATATTCCAACCGGCCGTAACAGTCGCCACATAAAATATGAAGAGGAATGTAATCGGATATAGGAAGATGTGCGTATTTTTCAGTATTGGAAGTGCTGAAAGCAGCAAAATTACTATATGCTTAAAAATTTAAAGTGGAATCGAAATTCTAATTTTCCCACTGGTGAAAATTAACACAGATCAAGAACCTTAAAATTATTTTGGTTAGATGTTACACCTGTTTAAATATACAATTATTAGAGTAAAGAGATGAACAAAAAAGAATACCATTCATACTTATGGTAAGCCCTACGAAAGCGAAAATAATTTTCAGGAAATTAGCCCATAAATTATATAACTTCCATAAAACTACCAAAAAATTATGCAAGATACCGGTATATCCCAAGAAGGTGA